GCCGATGTGGCATGAGTTTATTTGTGTATGTGCAATTCATGGTTGTACGTGGGCTGGGATACTGCCAGGGCGCCCACACCTAGACAGGATGACGATTAGGGTCTTCAACCAAAGCCTTTGGCTCAAAAGCCTAACCGCAAGGCAGCGGTGTTTGGTGGGAAATGCAAATGCATTACCATTTCTACGGAACAAGTCGCCACATGTTCCAACCCCCAACCTGGAGGGCCAGGAGACTGTGTTCGTCAGACCTCTAACCATTGACCAACCTGGTATGAGAGACTCTCTGAGTGTCGCGGGACACTCTCCAGTATAGCTCAATGGATCGCTGAGGTGCGCAAACCGTCACACCACGGTAAGGTCCAGTCTCTTCGTGACGGCAAAGGAAACACCGCATTTCGGAAACAAACCGGGCGGAACATTAGCCATAGAATACTGATAACTATCGGCAATTCCGGGGCCACCATGATGTGAATTTTCAAAAGTGAGACTCAAGCAACATTAGCCATCGTCATCAACAGGACAAGACGCGCTCTTCTATCTGCAATGGAATACGGACCTAGTGCTTCTTTGGCTAACCGCGTCAAAATGACTTATTCGTACCAAACAAAGGAAGATGCTTCATGTTTGATAACTTTGCTCACAAGCCTGCCAAGGTTCCCCCAAACGAACGGTGAGATCGTGAAGATGCGGTATGTCGGATAGTTTGCCCCCAGAGCTCGTATAGCGCCAAAATACAACGCCGGTATCATTGAACTGTGTGTGTGCTAACTGTTTACGATGGTCGCAAAAGTTGTCTGTTTGAGGTCTAGGACTGCCGGATAACTGCATTCAAGTAACGGTGACCAGGTGAATCTGGTTTCCGCTACAGACAATCGTCAAACCTGAACTATGTGACGCATGACTGTAGTGTTCTATCAGCAATCTGATCATGGGCAAGACGTAAAAGCTATGAAAACTTATATGAAAGTATACGATTGTCGTGAGAGTCCCGTCAATCATGAAATGTTTTGATTTGGCGTGGTAGAGTGAGGTACTAATTATTCCGCAATGCTCGGCACTCTGTGATAATGAAGACACATCTTGAAAGATTGTAGGTAGCACGCCCTAGTTGCTGATTCATTTGTTACCGGAACAAAACTGTGTTTAGAAGACAGTCGTTCCGCTGTAACATCCTTCCGGTGCCTTGCTGATATGCTGCCTGAAAGGAGCACGCGGGTTAGATACTGTCAAATTTCCCAAGCCTAGACAACTGTAGTCGAGACTCATAGCTTGAGTTCGAATCACAGACATTCGCTTCCGGCGCCTTGCTGACATGCTGCCTGAAAGGAGCGCGCGGGTTAGATACTGCCAAATTTCTCAAGCCTAGACAACAGTAGTCGAGATTCATAGCTTGAGTTCGAATCACAGACATTCCGGTCAGTAAGCATGCGTCTTAATCACTGAGCTATTTCCAGCCCATAAATAGAGTCAACTCTCGTGTTACATGCAGTGTAATTAGGCGAAAACACGAAGGTTCTGTTCTCAAGGTTAAAATGATCATCTGTATACGGTGACTGAAACGGTAACGTAAACCTTGGCGAATTACTCATCGGCTAAATTTGTTGCTGCGCGCTGTATGATCTACCGACCTAAGGTGACCTCACCTAGTTTAAGTCGAGAGAGCCCACGGGTTAAGTTATGAACTCACTGATCAGAAGGTCTGTGGTTCGAACCCAATCCCGAGATCTCGACTGCCATTGTCTAGGCTTTGGCCACCTAGCAGTACCTAGGCCCTCGTACCCCCTTCGGGTAGCATGGCAGCTGGACACCGGAAGAGTTTCGCGACTGCTTGGATCATTAGTCTGTATTGTTCAACAATGACGTGTCATCTCTTGTACAAAGTACCCAAAGAAACTTTATAAGCAAACCATATTGACAATAATAAAAAATAATCGTTCAGCTGTAACACTCTTCATGTCCATGCCATGCTACTCGAAGGAAGCACGAGGGTGAAAATAGTACCGAGTTGCCCAAACCTGAACAGCAACGGTCGAGATTCCGGAGTTGGATTCGAACCACAAATACTGTGTGTTCCTTAACCATCGAGGCACATCGACGTCCATTTGGCAAATACTGCACTCTGCCTGGGTCAATGCAGATTACCCCCAACAAACTGTAGTGTGAAATCCGAAGTAACAGAAAGTCACTCTACGTGTGCGAAGTACAGCTCTGAAATGATTGGAACAAAACCTAATGTATCAACCCGGTTTTCTGGATAGTCGATTTGCGGGGATCACTCTAGATGTACCATACATTAAAATATGTAGTAGACTCGGAATTCGTAGACTGTAAGTAGTAGACTGTAAGTGTTCACCGTAACGGTTTATATTTTGGTTAAATTAGCACAAAAAATTGACATAGTAATCGTTAGCCAGACACAAACTTATCTGAACTTAAGCATCACAAACACTGGGTGATGACTGCTCATGAAGCTATAGGGTTTATGCATTCGGCCAAAGCTTGGTTCCGGCGATTGAAGATACCCTACAAATTATTCATGATAGATGGTACGATATTCCAGTCCCTCAAATGATGAGTCAACTAGGTTCCCGAAACTATCGATTACATTAACCACCACTCTGAAAGTTCAACTTGATTGCGACTCTGTCCTGGAGAGCGACCAGTCGGCTTCACAAATACCCCGCAATGCTGTTAAGTTAACGCTACTGATTTTCACTGTTTGGGCTGAGTATATCTTTGTTATTCGTGGGACACGACTGAATCTGTTACCTGAGTTTGCCTAGTTGCATCCTTTTGGCAGGGCAGTAGGCACAGATCACTTTACTACCTCTCAGTAGCATGTTTCGTTTTTACCCTGACGGTTACCTGTCTAGACAGCCGCCTGGATTTGAGAACCACTCACCAAACATTGATGAGATGAGACAGGTAGCTTAAAAAGGATTCTTTTGGGAATAGATGTTCCCTACAAGACTTTGGTTGTTGAATGGTGGGTTTTTTACAGCACCTTACCTGGATAGTACTAACTCCAAAATGGGAGATTCTACCAAAGGACCCGTGCAGAACTACAAAGGCATTTGGGTAACAGCCGGTTAACGAAGTACAAATGTTTAAAGTTGGGTGGCCGCACTTTCTACAGTGGTAATTCCTACCCACCTGAATAACTGCGGTTTTCGAAAAACACCCCGAAGTTTCTCCCACATACTCTCGACAAGAACTCGAAAATGGTTTTAAGAGTGGAGAGTCCTGACCACTGAAATAACTGACTAAATCGAGGGCACATGAATACTAAATTTGGAGAGAACTCAGTTTACAGCATACAAGCTGTTCTGGAGGCGATATAGCTTAGTGGCTAGAACGTGAATTTACTGACAGGAAGGTCCGTGTTTCGAACCCGACCTCTGCCTCTCAACTTCCCCTGTCTATGTTTAGGTAACCTTCGTGCTTCCTTCGGATGGCATGGCAGCTGGGCACCGGCGAACTATTATTATACATACTATTCTGAAGGTAGTTACATTCACTGATATCTTTAGTGTCTTTCGGGGCTATCGTATGATAGAAGTTCTTCGGTTTGATAAAATCCTTCATCATACGGGGTTATTGTAAGTTAGAGGCAAAGAGACTATCGTAGCGAAACAAGCGTCTTCGGTTCGAACAGGATATATGCATTTGCAAAAGACACAGTTGTGGCACCACTCACCTACCTATAACCGTGGGCTCCAAATCCATAATCACAGCTCGTGGTACTTGTTGTCCGGTCGGGGTATCTTGAAAAAACGTTTGGTTATTCAGGCAGTCTTCTGGGTTTAACGAATCGAAAAGTAAGCCATCAGGCTTTATCCCATGTTCGAGACACAATAATTCCCAGGCTGCATTTGAAAGCTGTGTGCCCGCTTGTCCGAAACTAAGGATAATGACCTCCCTCTAAAGTGAATGAATTGAACTCGACTGCACGCAGACCAATCAAACTTACCATTCTAAATACCGTAGTTAAAAAAATGCGGCACACAAATCAGGTAACGAATTAAGAAGGACATGCAAGGAAATGGATTTATCGACCGGTGTCGTTTGAAGACCAGATGATCGCGTGACTGTCCAGATAGGCACACGTGTCTGCTCAGTAAGAAGTAGAAATTGAGCAAATAATTCTTTGTTAGCCTCTTGAATTCTTGGTTAACATGAGAATAACAACTACTTTATCCATAGTTTCCTATAAAGAAGATTCATAAGGCGCTGGAAGTGACAAGCGTCGAGCAAAACCTATTTACTTCAAAGCAGTCGGCTTGTAAACGCGTTCGAAATCATGTTGATTACACTCGAGTAGAAAATGGATCGAACTTGTCTACTATTAAACGAGGCTGCAGCCACTTGGCTCTCGAGGTACATGACAGGCAAATGATGGGAAGCAGATTGGCGCAGAACAGTCTGTATTGGCCAGCTGTGGGCAGTCCTTGGTGCAGTCTACTTTCAGAAGGTGGTGCTACTGGTGTAACGGTGATAGTACTGATGGGAGAGGCATGCGACTAGTATGTTTTCTTCCTGTAAATTCGCTTTGGGTCTCTATCTATCGCGGAATTTGTGGATTCGCTTTGTAGCATTTGCTTGGATTTGAGCAACAGTCAACGAATATCCAGGAAAGTTAAGGAAGACGCGTTCAAGAGAAGATGGACGTTCAGTTTTTGTAAACAAGATGCATATGAGAGTTATGATTCCCTGTCCAATAGTTTGTAACTGGTCAGTTGGCATTTTCTAATAAGTAACTCCGCAGCGAAGGCCTTCTTCCTTTCATTTGTTGCCGTGACCAGGATCCCATGGCCACAACCCCTTGAGGATGATAATGTTCGGACCTTCCTGGAGGACTTTGAGGAGGTTGCGGAGGCTGCTGAGCTCGATACCGACCAAGGTAAGTTGGCGGCGCCGAAAACCCTCCTCAGGGGCCGGGCGAAGGCGGCCCTGGATGTTGGTAATGTGGTGAAATGTGGTGGTGAAAATGTGGTGGCGAACTGATCAACAGCCACCTGATCAACAACCAATAAGGCCCCGGATGTGGTCAGAAGAAGCCCTCGGAAGGTGGAATGGGCCGCTGCGAAGGAACTCCTTGCAGCGGAGTTCGACACATCGGCCGACCGCCAGAAGGCTATGAGGCGGTTCAAGACGGCCAGGATGACACCTGGGTGTGACCCGACCGTGTTCTTCGCCGGCATGCAGCAATCGTTGGATCGGGCTTTGCCAGGGCTGGACGGAGTGTTGCGCCACCAGTTGCTTTCCGACCAGTTCGTCGAAGGTGTGCAGCCGTCTTGCGCACCCACTTAACGCCAAGTAACGCCCTAGTTGCACGACACTACCAGATCGTGAAAATGTTTGTAAAGAAGGATTCAGTTACCTTTGAGTGATTGTTCGTAGTCTCGTTAGACACACTACTTTTATCAACGGTTATCTGGAGTCACGTAGCTAAGGGCAGACGAAGCTGACATCACAGACGGCAGATAAAGTTACCTACTGAACATCTGTTAGTAGTATAAAAGCACGGCTAAGATAGGGATTCATCTCTTCAGTTAGCTACCAGGCTTGACAATTAGTGACCTGCACAGAAAGGATACCGAAGCAAAGTAGTTCGCACACAGACGCCCGTAGCTTTTAAGTCACGGGGAATAATTTCCCTCTGGGATGATAATCAGTGTGTATCAGTTTACAGTAAGGGTCATCTTGCTCTGCGGTTGTGAGATTAGGCCTGTTCGACCAACGGAACTGAAAATGGCTACAGGTATTCGACAACCGTTGTCACAGAACTGGTTGGTTCCAAGTCCGCAACCAGACAGTTAGAAAGCGAGTCTTGAGCTATGCAAGATAGACTTCCGTTGAAGAATGTGTACAGCACCAGAAGCTGTATTGGTTAGGCGATGTATGGCGCATCCCGAAACATCGTTTGCCGAGGAGAGTTTTGTATTTGGTACCGAGTTCAGAGTGACGGAAGCAGAGAGGTGGCCAAACCTTGACCTGGCAGAACGAGTCTGGGTGCCGTCGGCGAAACACGCCTTCTAGCATGGGAATGCGTGAAACTGACGGCACCTGGCTGGACACGCTGCTAGATGTAGCTGCTAATCGATGCCAATGGCGTTCGCATTTTCAGTTTTTATCCAGATTGCCCGAATGAGTGTCTAAAGGTGTAGGCACTTCGGAATGATTGTGGAAGGCTGGCAATAAGCCCCTTTCCCATCCAGTTTAATCCTTTTCCTCACAATAAAGCCTTCAAATCAATCATGGTTGTACGGCGGCGAAACATCAATGTTGGACACTGATGTCATACCGTTGATGCTGATGGTGGGACGATACTTATTATTTCGATAAACTCCAAAGCGATTGATCTATAGAGACAAACGTGGAGTCCAAACCTAATGCTTCATCTATGTTAGAGACATTAGTTATGTAGAGACATGTATCAGACAGCTGAAGCCGTAATTCACGTGAATATCAGCAACTTTGGACCTTTGAAAGCAAAGTATCCAAAGTTACCTCTAACTGAGCGAAATACACTCATTTGCATACCAATTTGGTTGTGACGTGAGAATCACCTGGAACCCAACTGAACTGCAACCAAATGTGCTGCACCAGGCTACCTCATGTTTCGGTTTGTACAATGTTCGAGATATTTGCGACGCACGTATAGACGTAATACACTACTCATATGGTTGCTGAAAATTCCTGACTTCTCACTCGATGGAGTTAAAACCGCGTGGCATGTGGATCGCTTGGACCAGACTATTTCGATGGCTGTGGTTCGATCAGTTCTAAGGATTAACCACTGGCCGCTCTTCTGCTGAGGCACATAATTTTTTTTAGAACTATGGACCCAAAAAGAAGCTTTCTACAAAATACCCCTAGACAACAGATAAAACAAACACACCTGAGCACCATATCGGACTGGGAAATTGCAGGTTGGACTGACTCAAATTGCATGAAATTCGACTCATCTGCACACCAACTTGGTTTTGGTGGGAAACTCAACGGGAGCCCAGCTGAATCTCTCGTTTATGTGATGTTCAAGCAGAACAAAGGTTTGACGGTGGAAACTCGGGGAGTGCGCCTACCTGGTGAGCTCCAAGAAAGGCAAAACAGGTCGTGGACTGCCTAGGAGTTTTCAGTAACCCTATGAGTGTTGTATTACGCATACGAAGTGTATTGCGATATTTCGAATATCAAGCCAAGTGAAACATGGGGCGGCCTGATGCAGCACATTCAGCTGCATAAGAACATCACAAATGAAAGATTCAGCTAGGTTTCAGGTGAATCTCGCGTCAAAACCAAATTGGTATGTAGATGAGTGTATAAATCGATCCAGTCATTACACTTCCTGGCGCTGGATGTGGTCGCGAGATAAGGTACCGAAAACCCGTTTGATGACCATATCAACTCGAATCCTTTGGTGTCAACCAACGTATCAACCATACAAGAACGGCATCTCGAACGCTTGGCCAAATCACTGTCTAGGAGGTATTCAATTCTGTACAAGGATTAGCGGGGAAACATCACGAAGGGTGACTTTGTTTCACTTCAAGATGTGTGGGTTTTCTTGATGAGATGTGCAGAGTCGACTTACCTTCTCCGAAAACCACTGGAAAGGCAGCGACGGACAAGTGCATGATATGAGTCCATAAAAGTGTTCTTAAAAGAGCGACAGATAGAAACAGGCTTGGGTCATCGATAGTCAATAGCGAAATGGTCAACTTGCGTCTATACTGGTTCGTATTTGTGGGAAACCACATAGTTGAGTGACCCGAGCTATTTAGAAAAACCTGTTGAATCTGAGATCAAGCCTGCGCTCAAGTGGTGTGTCATTCAGAGCTATATTCTGTTGTGGCATAAGTAGATATAATGGGAAACCAACGATCATCAAATGGGCTCCGAGAGAAACTCACAGGCAAAGACAAACTAGTCCGCAGTGGTGACTATTGACGAGTATTCAGTCAAACATTCACCCTTTCACCCGATGATCCTAAAAGCAGTGCCGACCTCAAAATAGTCTGCTAGGGTAACTTCTGAATCACCAATGGTGCACAGCCATGAGCATGGGAATAAAGCCTAGCAGAAATGGTATTCTGCTTCTAAAGTAATCGATGGACCGGGCGCCACGGTTTCAATACCACCTCCATGGTGCTTAAGGCTGTGGATGTTACTCGATGCGTGGACGTTTCGGAGCGTTGCGGTGCAAGACGAAACTACTAGACCGTATGGATGAATATATGTACGAGGAAAACAAATACGTGAAACAAAACAGAGGCATCGACATGTACATATTAATTCCTTGAGAGAAGGGCCAGGAGGTTGCGCTAGTCAGGGCTCTATCTCATGAAAAGCCTGGTATAAGCGATTCTGTCGCATTACAAGTGGAGCCAAGAGCTGAGGATGAGCGAAATTCACGTGTATTTATGCTGAACTATTTATTCGGGTGCGGTTTTTTTTAAAAATACGTAGACTGACTGCTCTCATTTCTTTGGAAGGCTGTTAGGTCAGGGGACCACCCACCAGTAGTATTCAAAGGCTAAAAACCTTAGCTGCAAATTAAAAGCTAAGCAGCCTAAGCGTAACTATTGCATTACCAGTTAAGGATTGTGTGTAAAACGAGGGAGATTCGATAGCCCGTTCCACGACGACTCACCACAAACAGTTTGGAAAAATGGGGTGGGGTTACTTCGGATGGCATGGCACCACTACGCAAGCGGCTCGCCTCGTGACAGAGCGGTATTCTCGCGAGGAACGAACAGCAAGTCCGCCCAAACCACATATTTCGGAACTAGATGACCTCTTGTATCGTCAAGCTTCAGATACAACGAAAATCAATGGGTTGTCGTTCCCCAATCATTGACCATTGGCCAATGATCAACTCTTCGACATCATTTGCTCACGGTTATCATAGTCGCACTGTTGAAGACATCTTCGCCATCGGTACTTACGTATACGACCCACATCGCTCCAAACTGCGAAAAGCCTCACTGCACGAATTCAGCTACCGATATTGTACTTTACGACACAGGTCGGTTGACCAGAAAGGGGTAAACCCTTGTTGGATCAAAGGAACCAATGGCTCTGGGAGTATGTGCTGAATGTGCGCAAATCACCATATTTATTCGTACACGAACATTGCACAAGAGAGAGAAGTAGTGGTTGTATTCTTTCGTATAAAAAACAAATGTACACCAGAAATCGCCGTTGTGGCACAAGGAGGAAGGACGCGTAGGCCACGAAATGGAAGAGAAAATATATTACACAAGAACGAACAAACACACAAATAGGACTCTTGGTCAAACTCGGCATCAAATTAGTCGATGGGAAACAACTGGAGATTTAAGGGATCAAACAAAACAACTGATCATGTTGTATTCACTTGTCGGCTCCGTAGAACTGACGGAGCAGAGATGATAAACAGAAACTAAACAATTGGCGCCTGTCGAATTAAATCCGATAAACCTATGTGTAAAACACTGGGAGAAGGTTTCGGACTCAGTGGCGAAAACAAGCAGGGATCATAAACTATCCTTGCAGTGAACAGTCGCGGCTTGCTGTTGCCTACTCGAAACGTAATAAGTAGTATAAAAATAAAATTAATATCTCATGGCGCCAGAGTGATTAGAAGGCGGGGCACGACCACGATTGCGGCCAGAAAGGCAAAGCAAAGGCTATGTATGCGTAGCGGAGCGAAGTCGGGAGGGCAAGTGGCCATGAAATTGACAGAGAGCTAATAGGCAGTCATAATGGCAGGTCGGTTTGGTAAAATCGGAAGAATCAATGTACAAAAAGCGATGAAAGGGAGACAGTACCGGGGTAGATGGGTGAGATAAGTTAGTTCTGATGGAAAAATACAGATAACAAAGTCAAAAAGAGATCAGCGTAAAATATTCGTATACGTATAGCACGACACAACACATGTTGTGTACAAAGCGGTCTTTATCTAATACAGCAGAAACGATGGGAACAGCTTGGAGCCGCATTGGACGTGCATGCAAAAGGCACGAATCTTCTTGGCTAGATTTTCGATAAAGAACCAAGGAAAAAATTCCACAGGCCTTTGAGTAGGTGCAAAACAGTTGAAAGCGACGGGAATGAAGCACAAGATGAAGTCCTTTACGTCCACTGGGCTGGGGCACAAATGCTAAATCAGAACAAATTCATGTGCGAAGACCGAAAAACAGAATAAACAAATCAACGTCTCACCGGACGACACTGTGAGCGGAATTCGTGCACAATGGAATCACTCGGGTACTGGGTTGCGGCTAGAGTGGGTGAAGGGGTACTGGTCATAGTGGCAGATACAGAAGAACCATAACGACTGGATCGTGCAAGCTGATTTGGAGACAATGTATGGGGGGAGGGAGGAGCAACGGAAGATCTGGGTTGCCATTCTGAATTCCCTGCTGTTGCTGGTGCGGATGCTGACGAGGAGGGCTCAGGATCTACCGACAGTGGAGTAAAACTAAGGCCACGAAGTTGATGAACTGGGTGGATATGGTATGTGGGAGCACCGGTTACGTTGCAACACGATATCGGCGATTGTAAGGAAGACCCGGAGGTTTTGTGTCCATTACAATTGCTGTTGTTTGTATTACTGCAGGCTGAGACAGAAGGAATATCCGCACTGCCTGTCATCATTGTTCCGGATCCAGGTATAGCCAGAGGACCAAAGGTATTACCACTACTGCCACTTTGGGTAGGTCCGTTACTCAGGAGAGGAGACCGGCACATTGAACCGTTCACCAGGCTACGGTAGAAGTTCTGTGCTACCTGACTGGGAGAACCTGAAAGCGGAGAAAAATAGGGAACTGTTGAGAATCGAACTTGGTCTGCAAAAGAACAGGTGCTTCTGGACTTTAACACACAAATGGACGAACAACACAGCACAAAGGAAAGAATCTATCCGATCGCTCCATGCCCTTCACCTTGAATAATCCTATGCCGTGGATAATATTTCACGAGTATCGTGCAGTGCAGTGCATTTCGAAAAACAGTGAGGATGTTGTCAAACGAGGGCCCCATAAGACATATTGTTCTTTTCTTCACAACCAATGTACGCACTTTTGTCGAGAAGCAAAGTAACCTAATTCTGGGATGATTGATGGGAAAACACAACGTTAAGAGAAGAGTTTTTAATAACTTTTGTTACCGACCAAACAATCAACCCAAAGTGCGCAACCTAATTCTGATTGATTAGAAACCGGAAACGTGGGTACTTCCATGGATAAATGCAACTGGCCAAGCCAAAAACTGATTCACAGCCAATTCGGCGAACCCCTGAGGGGTTAATCACGTCATGCGTACGATTAAATTACTGTTCGCAAACGACCCTTGGTGCACCGCTTTGCTGCAAACAAATCTCGTGTGTCTCACAGAATAGCGATGACCAAGGTGTAAAAAAACTTATTCATGCAGGACTGTAACTTTTACAAAAGATGCGAACATTGCAGAAATGATACCCTATCCACATCAGACAGGACAAAGTAACCACTGGGCAAAGTAATTAACAAATGGTAAAAGTACCGCGACCATCTCAATAGTTGACTAAAACAAGTCCACGGCATAGTTCCATGGCGATTGTAGCAACGCCACCGTCGAGTAGGTACAATCACAAACAAATCACCCCACTGTACCACAGCTCTCTCGCTGTCCAGACTTGGTATTCGGTCCAAACCATCCTTAGGGCTTCAAGCAGTCCATGCTACGAGGTTTTTTTAGTCGCAGCATGGTCTACCGCAACGCAACTTCGGCGCTTTGCTCAATATCTGGTAAAGGGGACGAGATGGCTCAGTGGTTAGGGCGCAAATTTACTAGTCGGAAGGTCCGTGGTTCGAACCCGACCTCTGCCTCTCGACTTCCCCCGTCTAGGCTTGGGCAACCTGGCAGCATCCCAGCCCTTGCGCTTCCTTCTGGTGGCGTGGCAGTTAGGCACCGAAGGGGTGCAACAGATGAACGACAGAGTGATTAAAGGGGACAAATTGTGCGTGTGTGTGTGTGAACGTTCCATCTGCTCATGGGAGCAGATAACTAGCGCTGTTGAAACTCGAGTCAGATTAGAGACGACCATAGAACACCGTACAAAATTACCACAGTTTGTACCACTACAGCGCGGGCATAATTTGGTACAGCTACTGCGACCCATGTAATCAATCAGGTCTCTAGCAGCCACATCGACACCGATGCCTACCGGAGCGTACGGTTGAACACACTAGAGTAGGTCCAAAGAGTGGCAGCGCGGCTGACTTCAAGAAGTCGGAGGTTAGCTTCTATCTGGGGGCGACTTCTTCAGACAAGCCTTCAAGAGCTCTGTTGCCGCCAGTTGGTGAGTCCTTACGCGTCAGAATTTACCAGGCTGCGCTTGATGCAGGGACAGTTTTGATTTTATTTCCAAGTCGACTATCTGTTCGCCCCACATTTTTGCTAACGTCGTCCAGTATTTAACTTACAAGTCTAGGTTTCGTGGATGAGGAGAGTGAACACAATAAGCCCTCTGTTTTTGCTCACGGAATGGATAGAAAAGCTTTATGACGGCTTGAATTGACTGATAATTTAGACTTGTAATAAGCACAGAGCACCGTTCACTGGAACATTTCAGTCGAAATATCGACCGAAGACAATACAGCTGAAGGGTAGGATAAAGCGAAGTAGGACAACTTGAGTAAGCTATGATAACCATTGCTCTCGTCGTTTAATGAGTAATAAGAGTGGAATCTCGTGGCAACTCGTCGTGTTACTCACGTTATGTAGGGTGGGCTTGAAGAGGGATGCTGAGGAACATTAGCATGTCGCGCAAGTATGGATGCGCCAAAAACGGTTGAAAAGCTGGAACGTTCACTGCGGATGAAATGAAAAATTCTACCCCACCCACATAAAAGCTGCTGGTAAGTATGAAATATAAACGAAATTCGATTACCATTGAAGAACGCATGCCATACGGCTGCTACGAGAGAACACCCTCGTCAGTGAAACATACTTGAATCTGCCGAAAGAGTACTGCACAAGACTAGAGAACAGGTTTGCTACATAGTCGAACTCTTCACTCCCCCCCACACACGCAGAAAACGGATAGTACCAGTATAACAATGCTGATCATATGGTCGTTGATCCGTTCACCGAGCTTTGCAATGGGTTTGCAAACTTCGGAGCTCAGGCCAATAATAGTACAAGGTATTTGCCAACGAACCAATCAAATGACAGGGCAGTAGATACTCTTCAGAAACAATATACACGCGGTCAGGCACGGAGGAAGCACCCAATCAACTATGCACTGACGATAACTGCTCGACCAGGGACGAAACGTTTGCAAGCCAATTGCCAAGCTCGGCGAACAGATCAACGAGCGTCTGATCAAGCACCAGTAAGCACACCTAAGCTACCTATATTCCAACACATTGACGTTGAATTGTACAACAGGGAACTTAAATACCGGGCCATCCGAATTCCTCAGTAGATAAGCAAGAACAACAACCCTATGTGTTAGAAAAACCAGACGGTATGAGAACATGCACGGTGATAGATATAACCCGAACAGGACCAGTAATGATGAAAGATGAGGAAAAACACCGATAAGGAGATTAGGAACACAGGAACGACACTCACGGCTAGTTCGACTTTCAGAACGGGAGGAATACATACCGTATTGTTGTGCCATGTTGTACAACACATCAATCAACTCTGGTGTGATCTGAAAAGTGAACAGAACAGACGGAAACGAGAGAGGGGTTAAACTGGACTGTAAACACTCATCATTCGCCCGTCTCAGATGCTCTGATAGCTACGCCTTCTTAAATTGGAAATAAGATAAATCTTACCAACCGACCATTTTCCACAGCAAAAGCTTCGTAAAAACCCGTCTTCTCATCTGTATGGTTTAACAACCCAGAGCAGAAACATGATGCCTTTAGATAAACTAGTCAGCTGGATGCATCTGAAGGCCAGGTAAAGCCTCGTGTGAACGAAAAAAGGCAATAAATGGGCGACCCAACTTGATCAGAGAGCGATTTCGATCAGAAGCGCTCGAATTTACACAATTTTCTGCAGAACAGCTCACTGGTGTTTATTGGTGACGGGGGTCCAAGTTGGAGCTGTTATGATGATGAGTTCACCTGCATTACACTGACAGACACAACTCATAGACCCATGTGCAAACACCTTTCATCATCGTCAAATCGGTCGCAAGAAAACATAACTAGCTCATCAGCATGGATTTTGTAGACTGCCTAGGGACGTAGGCAAATGTTCAAGTTGAAAACGACATGAAATTCACACATGTCGATACCAGTTCCATGCTTGTGTACCGTATTAATCGTAAAACTTCCAGGGTGAAATATGGCTGAACGCATGCATCAACCTGCCAGGACCGATGGCAGTTTCGACACCCCTGATGGTGACATCATTGCGGAAAACCTTCACCAACAGCGCCGTTGACATGTTGCTTAATCAGTGAGTGTGGAATCAACAACGATACAAATCTGAACTTTTCTAGGAGACGAACTAATGCACTAGTTAACAAATCAGATGCAAAGCGACGATGCAAGGGTCTTTCTCCGATGAATGTCGGAACCACAAGCCACTGGGAACGTATCAACACATCTTTGAGGATGCAAAATTCGACAAAATAAGTTCGTATGGCAATTTGGGGCAAACTGATTCCCAACGATGTTGCGGGCTTTGGACCTTTGTATTTGCTCGCCATTTCCACAGGAATCGATGAGTGGAAAAGGGATGCGTAGGGAGTAGCGGTCATTCTCGCCACCGACACAAGACAAATATACTGTGTTGTCTATATAGCGTAAACAGTAGTCAACTCAAGGAAGGAAGAAATGAGAAACACACCGTACGTCGTGGCTGCTTGTGAAACGTTGAAAACTCTCTTAAGAAGGATTCTCTCCACCAGTTCGATCACCTGCAAACTGCGGTCATTTGCCGAATATTGGTAGCTGCTTGGTTGCTGGTCTGTTTGCTTGGGTTGCTAATGCTTCATAACCAGTGCGGGTCTGGGTGGGAGAATTCCTCTTCTGTCTGCGCTTGTAGTACCTAGACAGTATCTCTGGGGTGAGTGGTCGTTCCTGTGTGGCTTTCGAGTAATTTGATTGGTCAGCTTGGGATCTGTGTTGCGTTTTTGTTTCACCTCCTTGTGTCTGGTTGGGTGCCTTCAATTCAACCGTTCTAATCCTCCATTATGATGGGGCTGTTTTCTTCTTGCCTTGTGCTCTAGTTTCGTTCCACTTAGTTGTTTGATTGAGTAACCTATTTTCAGCAGAGTTCTTTCTTTGATCTGATTCGCATGCAGGATGTCGCTAAGTTGTCAGGCTTCCCATGTGGTTCGGAGTGCCGCAACTGTTTTGTTCGTGGTGACTGATACACCGGGTCGATGTCAATGTGTTTATTGATCGATTTCTGTGCGAAGTACCGCATCTCGGCAAACTCCCGCTTCAGCTTTGTTCTAGCATGAGCTTAGAACTTCAGTCGCTGGCTTTGGAAAACAGATAAGCAGTTCACAGAGACCTCACAGCAATACTCTATCACACACTTGGGTGTAGCACTGTTGTGACACACGGTTTGTGGTGCTTGCCACGCCGCACAACTTTTGCTCATTTACAAAGAACGTCACATTTACGAACTTGGGAATGCACTCAGGTGGACGAGAGTAATTAGGTGATTCGAGGTGAAAACGGATCGTAACATGTGCAAAAATGGGAGACTGCACGAGTGAACCGACGACGCTAAATTTGAACAAGTCAAGCTAAAATACCTGAAGACCTTGACGTGAAGGAATGCTAGGGTGGCTAAACGTTTTTACTACAAACAAGCAGAACGATAGATAAGCTACCCTACACTTTCAAATTCGGATCTAAGTCAACAACACATTTAGCCAACATACAAAAGACAGTTGAGAAATATTGAACGGTTGTTTATTGCACAGCAAACACTTAACAAGCTCCTAAACTTCCGGATTGCAGTTTGAACACCAAGTAGAATGAGTAGTATGTATTTGGATAGAATATAGCGAAACACGCTGTCCAACTCAAGTGATATAATGTTCACTGACTCTCCAACCGAGCAGAAAGACCACCCCGTGACTCAGTTGGATTGCTATTCAAAGTGACTAGGCATTTCTTAAATGTTCGATGGAATTTCATCAACCCTACAAGCAGCATGTTATACAAGGCAAAATGCGGTAGTATTTTTTCGAGTGTGAATTTCGATAGATTCACAGCACACACGATAATTTTTCTATCAAGATTTTCTAATATGACTGAATGTGTCCAGTAGTAGGTATGCCTAAGTACGAGGTCGTTTCAGGGTGGTTGATGTGTACACATCTGCGACAGGTCCGTACCCACCTATCGGGTTGTCTACACGGGACCGAAATACACTGTGTCATGACGTCTCCACCACCACCACCACCGCCGCCACAGTCATCAGCGTCATCGATCAAGTGAGCAGGTGAAATGCACCACAATGCGTTTACGTGTAGGTGGCACACACGTAAATGTACGTATCTCAAAACAGTGGTAAAACACGTGAAGATGATAAAAGAGGAAGTAGGTCAGACACTGGCTGGTATCCGCAAACCGGTTTAAGGACAGGTACACTCCGGAGATGACTCGAATACCAAGGAGAACGCAAATCGTTCGAAATTGCAATGATAATTTAACCGAAATACTGTCATATTACCAAGTCTAGACAGAGACAAGCGAGGGGATTGTGCAAAAAGGGTGGGACAAGCGGCTCCATGGTGGAGAATTATGCTTGGAACTGGGTTGATCTTAGCTCTGCTTTCTGGTTGTGGGGAGTAAAAACGGATGGACGATGACGTGTCTAATGCGTGTGCCACTAAGCTTGAAGCGGTAGCATCTGATTTGCTGATAGAAAAACCTCAGACACATTATGAAAGCAGGAGTTTTTGTCTGCCATGTGGAGAAAATGATGAGAATCTGCTAGTGAAGAGGGTGTTATCGAGTAAATTCGCACACTTGGCTGTTACTTTGCTCGCTGAGTTGGGCAGTGGGCCTCATCATCAATCGAAACGATGTAATAGATGTGTCAATGGTGTGGCGAGAGGTGTCCAAGTGGCGTGGCGATCAGCACCAGGTACTATCACACTTATTTGTGTAAGAGGAAAGTGTTTACGGGGATCACCTGCGTTTCAGCGAGATCAACCAACCAAAGTTATGAAAAGGTTAGGCTTCATAAAGCCTAAATATATGCGACTAAATGAAAAGAGTACCTTGAAAGCAGGCAGTGCAAACCTCGACATCGATGAGTCGGCCAGAAGGGATTTAATCTAATCCGACCAACAGGGAAAGATAGTCTTCTCATTTAAGGTCTTCACGTGCGTTCAAGGAAATTATGATAAGGTTGCGGCACGTGAAGTGTCCTTTTTTCGAACATGTGAAATTAGGCCTGTCATGGTCAAGTTGTAGGATACTATAAATCTGAAGCGAACGTAGAGGAACGGTCCAACAGTAACTCAACTGTAACCGAGTGGACGACAGTCAGGTCTTAGAACGCCAGCACACACATTCGCCCAATCACCACAATGTGAACAATATCATGAGAAAGCAGTGAATCCAACTTAACATCAAATCGAGCGTCGAACGAAGTCTCGAAATGCGTTTTACACCTTATAAGTGCAAAGTTGTGCTTCAGAATTCATAATCCTTGCATCCCTTGTGAACGCACGAGTCTGTTTATCGGTTTGCGCACCTCGGCAGCCGCATTAATGTGAAGCATACATCCATTCATTGCTGGTGAAGAGTCTGCGGATCAGGAAACGGCCAGGTGAAATGAAAGCGGTTGGTATCAAAATGGGCGCCTTTCTGATTGGGGTCCATGTGATTCTCTGTACGTCTTTGGAAGCCCCCACCGAACACATACTTCTTGGCCGAACTGGAGGCTGTGCGAATGCTGTTAGCCCTGCTATAAAAAAAGATCAGTGGTAATTTCGACGAGGTTTGGTAAGCTCTCCCTGGCCGTCTTCCTAGGAGACATTGAACTTTTAAGCCAACTGATTCTTGTGGATTTCTTCCACGATTACCTGGTAGTTAGGCACCAGCGGGGGCGAGGTGGCCCAAGCACGAGTTTACTGACCGCAAGGTCCGTGGTTCGAACCCGACCTCTGCCTCTCGACTTCCCCTGTCTAGGCTTGAGCAACCTGGCGGTATTCCTGCCGTAGCGTTTCCTTCGGGTGGCATGGCAGCTGGACACCGAAAGGGTGTTACAACTGAACGACTAGGCACTGTGGTGTGCTGATGTCCATGCCGTGATGATGACTTTGACTTCCACTCCTTACAGAAGGATTTAGAGGAAATTAATCATACGGGTGGCCATTTTCCAGCCATACAGTACTTTGTGTTGGGACTACAATTATGATCGAAATAACAGAACATGAGGGAAACAAGGACCGATGAAAGGAATCAATAACGGATACGAGGCAGTGAAATACGCTGAATCTGATGTGGATCTGCGAGCGAGAGCCGCAGCTCCCATGCTGTTCATCGGTGATTCATGCAACTTCATCAATCTATGCCAGGGGCCCAGAAAACTTTAGGTAGCGATAAATTGTTTCAGCTGAAACTGTCATCTATTTTTATCCTTAGTAAGTATATTAATACTGCGGGTAGAGCTCGTGCAACAGTCAAGTCTCTCTTTGTTATCGATTGGTACATGGCGAAGGATTGCCTGCGCACTGTTACAGCGAACAGGATGTTATGGATCTCAAATACACACGCGGTACGGGATGACTTGTTTAAAGCAGCAGCTGACTAGGTTAGAAAACTGAAGTAAATGGAGAGAATTTCGAAGTTTCAATTTGGGTTCACTGCAAAACTGCTCACTAATGTTCACTGGCGACGGGGTCCAAGTTGAAGCTGTTATTCAAATGATGAGTTTACCTGCATTACACTGACAGACACAACTCATAGACCCATGAGCAAACACCCTTCATCATTGTCAAATCGGTCGGAAGAACACACAACTAACTCATCAGCATGGATTTTGTGGACTACCTATTTGAGGGAATTTCGAAGTTCCAGTTTGGTAGTGCTCGAAGTTTGAACCCACTCCCGAATTAGTGAGACACTCATTGCTGGTGCTTCTTAACAAAGAAAAAAAACGAACAACTATCATTCAATTGCAGCATCTTTTAGGTGGATAGCTACTATGCCACCTAAAGGAAGTGCGAGGGCTGGGATACTGCCAGGTTGCCAAAGCCTAGAGAGTAGCAGTCGAGATGCCGAGGTTGGATTCGAACCACGGACCCTTCGGTCAGTAAGTTCACGCCTAGAGCACCAAGTTATCTCGGCGTCAAAAACGAAGCCCCAACAAAGATGAAAACTTGATGTACACTTCAACATTTTCACATCAGTAAGAAATTTAAGTGAGCTATCCGGAAAAGTAAACATCTAAATAGGCACATGAATTCTCCTCTGGAGGTTTGTCACTCGAGAAGCCAGTCAACTTCAGATGGAAATTTTGTGCCTGAAGGATGAGCGACGCCTAGTAACTTCCAATCACAAGCTAGCTACACTTCTGAACAGCCCTCCACAACCCAATAGTGCTATATTTAGACTGCAGCAAGCCTTTTACGAGATACACGAGATGTCCCAGCTTTTGCACTTCCTGAGAAAGAAAAACAACTAACAAAGCTCATCAGACCTTCAGCATGCGATGAGTCTACCTCAATCAGATCCAGTTGAATGGTCATTATTCTTGGTGAAGGATTTGATATTTACCCGGACGTGGGCTCGGAAAACGCTTCGCTTTCGACTAAACTTACTTCGCGCGTTAACAGCTAGATTACGGCCAAAACGTGCACGTGACTGGTCCCTCTCTACATTCATCTGGTAATCCCCAATCCTAACGTCGTTCAGTTTTTGGGAAACTGATGACTACTATGTTGAGTTACATAAAGATGGCGTGGGGAGAAGAAAGAGCTGTGATCCAAGTCTGTTTGTGCGTACGCCAACCAACACTGACGTCGTCAGGAGTTGTATCACAAGGTGGGCGCGTACGAGTATACGGGAAGCTCTCGCCTGAGCCCACCACGTCCAGTGATGTTAGACAAGGCTGTCCTCTTTTCCCCTTCCTCCCCAACTTTGTTATTGATATGCTGCTTGAAATTTCTCTGCCTGCATCTGAGACCTCGAGAGTCGAAATGCTCCCGGGACGTTCCCTCACAGACACTGAGTATGCAGACGATATTGCTCTCCTTGGTTCAGATTTTTCTCAAATGCAAACGACTGTAAATAACCTAAATAACTCTGCTTCATAGTTTGGCATACGCTTCACACCTGCAGAGTAAAGTGCTGCTACAAACCGGGTGGGATCAAACCCACACCTCATGCTTGCAGGTGGGCCAAACGACATGGGTAGCTGTATAAGTTCCAGTGGACTGACTGGAGACGAGATTATATCTCGAATCGGAAAGGCCAGAGCAGCTTTTGCCAACATCCGATACCTACGGCGCCGACGTGACGTGAGCTTGTCTGTCAAGGGAAGAGTTTACACTACGGCGGTGTGATCCGTACCCTTTATGAATCCGAGAAGTGGCCCCTACTCACAGAGGACATGCGGAAGATGTCAGTGTTTGATCATCGGTGTCTCCGCAGCATTGGTCAATTCTGGTGGGAACATCAGATTAGTAATGCTGAGGTACGCTATATGGTTTTAGGAAGAAGAAACACTCCCGGGATAGATGCATTACTCACGCTTCATAGGATGCACCGGTTAGGACTTGTACTCCGCATACCGAAAGACCATCTGCCTCACACAGCTCTATTCTCCTAGCCCTGTGCTGAGTGGAGACCGAGAGGTGGACAGTGTATAATTTAGCGACGAAGTACGGAAACACTAATCAGTAAAGTTAATCGGGTGGGCAACTGCCGCATCGCTGGAAGGAGACCCAGGGACTCAAACCACCAGTGGTTAATGACATTGGCGGAAACGGCCCAATCGCGCAGTCAGTGGCGCTTGTGCATCAAAGCTATCGCCCAATCTCTGAACAAACTGAACATGCCTTCGCCTCCGAGACTTGGTTGCATGTTCCACTTTCCCGTTTTCCGGTGATGGAAACTAGCAGCTGGAACCAATGTGCCTATGGCACACAGTTTATAGCTGATACACTGAAAATTGAGGTGGTGCCATCGGTTGGCAATTGGAAACCGGTAAGTGTCATTTAGACGGTACGCTATTATAAGAGATTTTGATAAATGTTGGCAAACCGGTTATCCGGACGCCCATCAACAATAACCCGATCTGGTAAACCCATCCATAGAACCCATTATCCAAATATCTCGTCGTACTCAAAAGTCACGTTTTGTCAATAGAACATATGTAAACATAAGTGCAGCACCGATCAATGCGCAAGAAGTGATTCATCACTCAAATACCACGCATCGCTACTGAACTGCGCAACAACTGCGACTGATGATGACACGTATGAAGCAAACTCACAGAACAACTCAACCGTCAATCACACTGCCCCACCCACCAACATTCTCGACCATTTCAAATGGTGAAGAAATTGGTGTCGTTGAAGGCAATTTTGAATCCGACCATATTAGGCAACAGAGCGAGATGGTCCAGGTGGTTAGAGCGCGAATTGACTGACCGGAAGGTCCGTGGTTCGAACCCGACCTCTGCCTCTCGACTTCTCCTGTCTAGGTTTGAGCAACCTGGCAGTATCCCAGCCCTCGCGCTTCCTTCGGGTGGCATGGCAGTTAGGCACCGGAAAGGTGCTACATCTGAACGATTTTTTACGATAAATGCTTTTCGGGACATCAACCGAATTACTATCCCGACGGTCGACAGGTTTCGATGCGATATGAGTGGGACGCCGGTTACAATTTAACGACCTCCATAAATGATGATGGAGTCGAGTATATCCATCATTAATCGCCAGACGGTTGAAGACAAAGTGGAGCAGATTAAACAGTGGAGTGATATAAAACTTTCGAACAGCTAATCTATCGCATATCGGTATGAGTTTGGAAGAGTGCACAAGCAGTGAGACCACTGCAAACCTAAACGTAATCAACAACATGCATGCGATTCAAAGCTTACGCCGGAAGCCGGAGAGTCGCGGATCCATCTGGCAATCTCATGCACCGATTCGCGACCGGAACTACCAAGGTCGGTGTTCAAATTGAGGGGCTGCAAAGCGGACAGATGAGGTGGAGTCGTTGTGTTGTGGGCACAGTCCGAGCGATCGTCTGAGTCTCTGGATGACGGGGCAAGATATGGTGGTGGTGGTGGTGTGGAACCACCGTTCGGTAAGGTGGACTTCCGGTCCAGTTGATCCGAAGGATGAGTAGTGATCGGCTGCGACGGGGTTTTGGTGAGCAGCGACTGACCGAAGGAGGAACGATGAGGAAACAGTTGGACCGAAGTGTTGTGGTGACCACTGATTGGGTTAGGGAATGCATGAGAGTAGGAAGGGAAATGAAGCTCCGGAGTGTTCTCGTTCGGGCTGGCGCCGATTCGAGGCAGACTGCAAGCTGAGGCACTTCGACGAGAATTGAGTGGAGTTGAACTGAAATAAGTCGTGGATAACAGGGCTGGTATAGAATGGTCAAACACCAATGAAAAGTACTAAGCAGAAAACTGGAAGGATACTTCAGTGGTACGAAAATGGGATAAAGGTTTAGATTCAAGTGCCACATAGATAACAAACCTAAGGCATACACAAAGACACCAAACCTCAGCTGACGCTGCCAAAAGCCCTGTGGGTATCCTCAGAAACTGTGTTGCGGGGCATGGAACAAACAAGACAAAGAGCCACCACGCGAACAGCAGAAAACGAGTACTTTAAATTAGTGTGAAAAGTGCCTAAAATATGCATCTAATTGACCGATCGGATCGGAGGACCATGTCTAATCCGAAATCACCATGCCCCGACACAAATTAGGATGGCGCTCCGAGCGAACAAAACCAAAATCCCCATTCATCTCCGGTAAAAAGAATAGATCAGTATGATACACATGACGAACGCATCTACCACTAATCTTTGTATCTCTCTACGGAAACCAATACAGATTATCAGTAAAGAAATTAGCGTAGCACAGGCTAAAAGTTGAAATTTTAATCCAAAGCTAAACCAAAAGGTACAAAACATATCAACACGGACATCCCGTCTGTCCATCGTAAACGGAATCGTTACATCACGTCAAAAAAAAGTAAAGAAATTAGCGTAGCACAGGCTAAAAGTTGAAATTTTAATCCAAAGCTAAACCAAAAGGTACAAAACATATCAACACGGACATCCCGTCTGTCCATCCATCGTAAAATCGTTACATCACGTCAAAAAAAAGCATAGATTGAAACGGGCTCAAACAAACTGTTGGAGAAAACATGCTACCGGTACAAACAGTTTCGGTACAACCGCGAAAGGATTTGACCTGGGACTTTTGTCCTCCAAAATGTCAGTAAGATGTGATTTCTAAACAACATTTCCAACAAATCCTGTTACGAAGAAATTCTCACGATGCTTCTCAAAGATGAAAGTCCCACTAGTAATCATGGTGAACCACTGTCATTCACACATTTCTAATTCAACATTTCACGAATTTTCGTCATCAATGAGTACCCTCTTATCTGCCACCTCTCAATAGCCCGAAGATTTTAGACCGTTGAGTAGAATCTACCAAGAAAGTAAGACGGCTCAGATTCAGTTAACGGAGCGGTCTTCCAAGGTCACATAGAAGAGTAACATGGTTGATAGAACCATCCGCGAGATTAGTTGTAATTATGGAACTGATGAGCATACGTGAGTGTGTTCCGAAGATGTCATGTGCACGCATGTTGAACTGTTCAATAACCGCTGCTTGCACAAAAGAAAACAGACTTCCGTTTCTCATTCTTACTCGTGATTAAATAGATGAGTTGGTGGAAGAATACTCTTGGTATCGAGGCCCAGTCAATGAGATACACTGTCGATAAGCCTAAATGAGAACGAAACTCAAGTCTAGTGGGTGAACAGATCAAAATAGTTGATTGAATATACCCGTAGAAGTCATACGAACAATGAAGGTAGCAAACAAAGCTTGTCTTCCGTGATTTTTCCTCTTGGCTAATATATCACCGGAAGTCACGTGAAAAAGGTTAAAATCGGAAGTACACACACTTCAGAGATATGAAAATTAAAGGAGGGGAGTTTGAATTAGGAGTAGGTCAATGGAACAAGGAATCAGGTAAGTGAAGTCAATGTCAGACAGAATTTTTCGAAGGCCAGTTCAAGCTCGGAAGTCGCGCAAGTTTCTTTTGGACGCAAAGTTGTGAATCCAGCAGTCGGATTCCAATCGCCTCTGTGATCGATGGTAGTCTGGATCGTACCAGTCGTGATCGGTTCAGAGGTTACCCGGTATTGATAGTGTCGGGCTGGCTCTATGTCGATGACATAACTGGTTTCGGCTAAATGTGATGCAATTGCATTTGAGCCTGTTTCTTCCAACTGCCCCTCTCAGATACGGGATTGTGTTCTCACATTAAGTCTGACGAATGCCTTGTTGTACCATCAGCGTATGATGCTCGGTGAGAGCATGCAAATGAGTACACACAAAAGCTGATGGTAGAACATGGCAATGCGTCCTTCGAGCGGAATTTGATAGTGGGGCTGGAGTTGAAGCTCAACCCACAGATTAGCAGCCAAGCATGTCGTGTCAAGAGTTTCTGAGCCTTCTGGTAATTAGTTCAGCAACCGAGTCACCTTTGAATGGGATCCTCATGCAGATGGGCTTTTTCGCAACAGAACATGTTTATAAAGGAAACTATTCAAAAGGTTACTGAAAACTCTTCGACAGCCCACGACCGGTTTCGCCCTTCTTGTGGCTAATCAGATGGGTTTAGTCCCCGTTTCCGTCAGCCTTATGTTAAACGTGAACCCAAATAGGACTGATTTCGAGAGATAGACTCATTTGCAAATCAATTTGGTTTTCACAAGAGACTCAACTGGATCTCTCGTTTATGATATTCTACAACTGAATGCGCTGCACACGGGCCACCTCATGTTTCAGTTGGCACGATATTCGATATATCGCTGTATATTTTCATAAAGGAAACTACTCACAAGGTTGCTGAAAACTTTTGGATTGACTTCGTTGCAAATAATTATTTGCCTGACTGAGGGGGCAATGAAAATATGCTGCCCCAACTGTTTACAAGAGAAACTAGATTTCTTGGTAGGCACATTCTTGCAGAACGGATATCCTGGAAGGTTTATACTCAAGACTATGAAATCCGTTAAACCCGAAACTGAACAGTGTTCTATTGGGAAGAAACCAGGTTCAAGTGCAATCGCATCACATTTGGCCGAAACCAGTTATGTCATCGACAGAGAGCAAGCTCGACGCTATCATATACCGGGTGCCTCTGAACCGATCACGACTGGTACGATCCAGACTACCATCGATCACAGAGGCGATTGGAATCCGACTGCTGGATCCACAACTTTGCGTCCAAAAGAAACTTGCGCGACTTCTGATCTTGAACTGGCCTTCGAAAAATTCTGTCTGACATTGACTTCACTTACCTGATTCCTTGTTCCATTGACCTACTCCTCATTCGAACCCTTTCCTTCCCTTGGTTTCCACTTCTCTAAAGTGTATGTAGCCCCGATTTTAACATTTTTCACGTGACTACTGGTACCATATAAATTTGTGATGTATCAGACAAGAGTAACAATCACAGAAAACAAGTTTTGTTCGCTACCTTCGTTGTTTTAACGCAACTTAAGTAAATCCGTCAAGATAACACCAAAATCTACTACAAAACGCTAACAGTAAGTACAGAAATGTAACTGCCAGGACAGGAACCGACGTGACCAAAGAAGAACGGAGTGGATACGATTGCGCCGCTATTTTCGCTCTAATTTGGAAACAGCACCCTATCAAACTTTCCCTTCGGGATTTAGGATACGAATTCTCACGGACTCTGTATTGTTTTATAGATACTTGCCTTGACTGAACTGCGTACACATCAGTCAGGAACCTGTGTGCAGGAGTGGAATCAGGCAGAAGCAGAGTGTGACGGGGGACCTCGGTTGAATCTTTCAAATCGCACCAAATAAGTGCGATGGTGACCGGAACAAGGAAGACTAAGGACAAGTGTCGGTGGCAAATTCCAGTAAAAGGTCATTGTTATGAAGCTAAACGACACCGCTACAATAATATTTTGTCCGCCAGCATGTACTCCAAGACTTCTACCTACTTTTTAACTGATGCCAACTCATCATCCAACAGGTTCCTAAAACCAGCTGAGAAAAATAGTTGCAACCCAAATATCGCTAGAATTTGAAACTGAAATATGCCATATCATTATCATCGTGGTGTTTTCTCACTTTTTATGCCCCAGCGAATGAAAGCCAGTAACATCGGAATTCTGAATGCCGCTTGACACATACACAGAAAGAACGCGAATACACAGACTGTTAAAAATGTCAAACCACCATAGTAACCACGTGACATTCAAATCAGGTCTGGAGAGTCAGTTGGATGTGCTTACGGATTCCAATGCTCATAGCATGCTTACGTGCGCGGTTAAAAAAAGCCCCATACCCTGCTATCGACTTATATCCCTTATGTCCCTTTGGGTAAAGTTAATCTATGCTGGGAAACATCACAAGTGAGTATCACAGAAAACTCCAGGGAGTTGGTAACCCACTGGTAGCGAAAGATTAAACCGTTCGCTAGGACCAGTAAGCAAAAAGTGGCCACTTTTACTAGGATCCATTCTTTGATAGGTTCTCTTGAATCTCTGAAGGATGTGTAATCCGGTTCAGTTTGTCAGCTGAAAACTGCGTACGAAGTGTATACTGCCTCTATCAGCTACAGTCAAGTCAATTCAGAAGGGTAATTATGGGGAGGAGTCACACGTTGGAAGCAAAGCTACAACACCAATCAATTGGAAAAAGTTTGGGACCGATTGAGAAGTCGTCGTTTCGTCACAGAGAGGCGGTAGGAATCGCCAAGCATCCCAGTGTTAACAAAATAAAAGATGTGGAACTGGCAAGCGTGTGGAGAACGGTCTTGGGTCAATCGAGCTAACACGTGTTGGTGTGTGATTGTCAGAGGGAAGAGTAGTCATCATCTGGATTCCACTTGACATTACGCACCTCCCCTCCCCTCAACTAAATTGTCGCAGCATTCAAATGCCCACGGAGATCAACGAAAATCTACCAGTGGCACCCGAGGTGAATCACCAAGTGAAGTGCCCTGAAGTGGAAGATTAAGGAACAAAAAGCGATCGGAAATAATTTGAAGCTCCTCCAACCTATCAATTCAAGATTTTGGCAATCATACTAGCCGACAAGATGCGTTAATTGACACTCAACACCGATCTAGTGTGGTAACCTGAAGAAGACTGACTTACTGATTGGTTCCCCGTCTGCCTTATAACCTGGCCAATCTGGTGACCTGCTCACTTGGCCTGATGAAGCGAAACGTTGCCCAAATAAAAGCTACCGATTGTTTACCAAGCTCCTCTGAAACGAAAAGCTATGACCAGTTCACTAGTGAGTAAATTACTATTTTCTCATAGAGAGAAAGCTGAGACAGTCGCGCATTGAAGAGCCTCGAATCAGTCCGACAGCATTGTGGATGTGAAAAGTTTTGTGGCTGGCAGTTTTCATATTTCGACGCCAATTCACAGACTGCTTGTGGTTGTGCATCATAGGGCAACAGATCCTCTAACGACGGTTTGGCTATGGTTACTAACTGGAAATGCGTCCATTTACACAGGAAATCATGTAATGTAGTGAATTTCCCACCATACCATTGTCCGGAGATCAACCAATGGAACCGCTCGACCGAACAACTAATCGCGATCATACGTCATCCCCGGCTAGCAGCACGTAGACCAACACACACGCAACACTGCTTAACGCACAACCAACAACCCACCGGCACGCACCACTATGCTCCCGAATAACGCACTGATGATGTTACCTCGATTGGCGATGAAACGTTGGCAATCAAATAGCCCCGATCAGCGAACAAGCCAACGACCATCTACGCTACGTGAGATACCAACATTTTCCTCTACAGAAACCCAAACATTGCACATGCAAAGTATGCGAGACCCGGTGCGGCCGAGTTAGATGACAGAGTTTGACAAATGACAGATAGGTTGGCGTGCCGAATGCCTCAGAACTATTTTCATCGAACAAGTAAGGGAGAAATACCATCTTGTATAAAAGTGAAGAGGAAGACTTCTCTGTTATCAGGTAGAGGTAGCGATGGACGGGCACATAAAGCTCTTTTTGAAAGAGTCTAGACTTCACTTTCACCATCAATGGCAGTGACACCGGATGAGAATACTGGTGCTACACTGACGTATGGAAATGTTAATTCGTTTCACCAAAGCAAGGCGTGGGAAAAAGAAAGGCATGGGAAAGTTAGGTGATCCTAGGACTGACAACTGCGAACATTGGAGGTGCCTACACCCGGAATTTGTAACACATGGCCAAATCAACCACCGTAGCTCGTAAAGTTGGATGCATTATTTGAGTGAAATAGGCTCGGCTTCACCTGAAAAAACCCGTCTCCTCACCACACCACCTCGAATTCGCCGGTTCCAACCAGCTCCTCAAAAACGGGAACACTGTCGCCTGCAAGGCTTTCACTCCGACAGATCTTGCAGTTTTCGCTGCATTATCTCATCAACACCGAATTTAAATGGAAACGGAGAATGAACACCCTTGGCGGTTTGTGGGAAAGCTTTTGAAGAGCTTCTCATACACGATCATGTGCCCACGAAAACAGTGCATGATGTTTACGAACTTCTAGGGCATAACCTGTTGCGTAAGCGCGGTGCAAAGAACGAGTCAGTCGACAGAACCGAACTCACTCTTCCTCTAGCACTTGGTGGAGTGCAAAGATGTGGTCTACACAGCCCCTCTCAGACCGGAACCCAGTTTGCCGTTCTCGGGTCCTTCCTTCACGCGCCTTCGTAAGACGCGTCAAGAGTAAGGTTAAAACGGGGTCCAGTTAATTCCTTTATGATCGCCAATCCCACTGCGAGCACCCTATATAAAAATGGGCAATAATACCCATGCATCCCAGTTAGTTGAGACGGTCTCTTTTGCCGAATAAGTTGGGGAAGCTCCGAGTGGGGATTTTACCACTATCTTTGAACACAGCGGGTGGTATTTCGTCAGGACAAGCAGCTCGATGACGCTTGAGAAGGAAAAGGAATCCGCCTACTTCTGAACCTGTCTGGGGGTCTCAAGCTCACTGTCAAGGGCTGTGTTTTGGGCCAGCAATCCGGCTGAGCAATTTCGAGCGGCCATTGAACTGTTTTTGAGAGTTATCTATTCTTCTGTTTTAGAGGTGGGCCAGTAGTCGTCATCGTCAGGCGCTTCTCTGAACCTGTTGCACGCATCAGATGGGAGAGGTTACGCGCATTCTCAGAGGTTTTCACCTCCTCCATCTTAGGAGCTTCACGATCAGCACAGATACCTCTTTTCACCTTAAGTCTAACAGTTTGTTTAGCTGCATTCTACTCTCGTTCAAGCTTTGAGTAATTTCAGAGCGTTGCTCGAGATCCAGCGCTCAGATCTAGCTGGCGTGAACATCAGAAAACGTGTTATCCGAAAATTCAGTACGTTTCACATCAGGGGCCGAGAGTTTCTCAACGGCTAAGCTAGGTGTGCGCGTCTTGCGCGCCCCTGAAAATCACGAACCAAAGCAGCGTGATCCAAATCCGTCCACGCGTCCCAGAGTAAAGAACGGCCAGTAGTTCACCCACACAGCCCATAAAAAAATAGTGATTAAGCTTAACCACAAGTCAGCGGTGGTTGGCGCAAGACTGTCAAAGCAAACCATATTTTTAAGGGGAAAGTGGGCACACATGTTCCAAACCCCCAATCCGGAGACTGTGCTAGTTAGACCTCTAACTATTTACCGACCCGGTATGAAAAGTTCTGTGTGTCACACGTACACTCCGCAGTATGGCTCCCCAGATTTCAAGACAACTTCATTCTCCGCTCCCATCGCTTCGGGCGATTGACCCTGGCATGAGTAGCCTCATACGGCGAGAAACAAGTATCTGTACCAAAGATGGTTATAGTAAAAGCGTCCTCGCTCATGGATGAGATTCCCACTGACATTAATTCCCTTGGTTATTAATTCGTACATGCCAACGCCAAAGAGCAATTTGGACGAACTGCTTTTCAGATGAACTGACCGCAAACTTTTTGGCTAGTTGGATTAAAACGGAAGTGCGGCTTTCGGTTGGTATTCGTTCCATACGACTGGCGCGTTAAACACTAGCATTTCACCACAAGTGCTGAAAAATGCAGTATGCGAACTGTCCACACCAGGTGTTGTATTACGTCAAAGCAACGGTATTTCACGTTTTGTTAGAGTTATCGATGTCCAGATGATGTTTACATTGAATTCGGATTCACGTGCTTCCACGACGTTTTGCGGTGAAGAGGCCTGTCAAATGATTGGTTCATTCTTTTTTCAAATGTTTTAACGGGCTAGTTGACCGAATAAACAGAAGTAAATTGGGACTATACTTCGGTTGTGAAACTATCTACGTTTCATTAGCACCCGCCCCGGTCCGACTGAATCAAAAACAAAGAAAGACAGCACCCTAGCGGCTATACTTGACAAAGTGTCAGTTCAACCAGATGACTTATGGTGACTGGCTTAAAACAGAGGCTTCAAACACGGAAAAGGGCCCGATTAAATCAAATGGCTTGCTAAAGAAAGAAGGGAATTTCGGCGAAACCACCGCCCACTGGTTACAGCTGACCATCACTGCGAAACTGTACAGTGGGGAGAAACTAGGAACGTCCTTGTAGGGGGAATAAACCCGCTGAGGGTGAAAAAATAGTGTGACTTACTTCCCTAGGGCGGGAGATCCGTGAGCGTTGGCCAATATCATACCAATCATTTCAACCATCCGTCGGTCGTGGGTAGGACTGCGACCTAGCTGAGGAAATGCCCCCGCTGTTGCTCCAGTCGATGATGTCTGAGAAACGCTGCCAGCATTGCTTTGATCGTTTGAGTGAGTGATGTTCTGTCCAGTAGCATCGGCCGCTGGAGTGTGTAGTATCGAAGCTCCCGGCCGACCAACCATTATGTCTCTAAGTTCTTCTTCCTCGTCATCTGATTGACTGGCCGCGATGGAAGGACCACCAACTGACCGGTTCGATGATCCTAGCCCGCCTACTTCAGTGTCGATGGTTTCAAAGCCACTGAGTTTGCGCGCAGTTGCCGAGCTGTTGATTCCTGTGCTGTTGGACAGAAATCCACTGGCACTGGACGAAGATCCTGAAGAACTGGGACGTCCAGAGCGGCTTCGAACAGGGACTAAAATAAATAGGTAACAGAAGTCGTATGTTATTGAGGGGATCACTTCACCCACACCGATGGAAAAACTGGAACGTCATGCAGTCGACAGCGGGTCAAATTGGAGTCATATATGAACATCACTCAATAGTTGTCGATGCGAAGCGTGAAATTTTAGGACTGGAATGCCTCTGTTTCAACAGCAGTAATCTTGTCAAAAGAAATCTTTATGAAGTTTCCCCTGAACAGTTAACAATAACGTTCCTCCTTAATTTATAACCTGATAAGGGGCTACCGCAAACAGAGGTCGAATCTGCTCTTGAGAACATTGATACACTTTTGTACTGAGTTGAGTTTTCTAGAGTACAAGGCGCATCTATGCGCAAAGATGTGATAAACAGAATAGGTTGGTGGTTTTCAGGTCTTTCGGGAGGATCAAACAGGGTTGCAAAACCCTTCTCGAAAAGGGCACTGGTCTACCCAGTGGAAAACTCTTTTATCTAGTATTGTTCGTTCACAGTTCTAGTTTGCGAACCTGCTAATGTGCTGCTACAATACGCTGTCTTGTTAACAAATTATAAAAGCAGACGATCAGGTGAACCCCCACCATGATTCAAATAGACTCTCTCCGTCTCAGGCCGACATTGTTGGGTAGGTACATCAGAGTTGAGTTCCGTGGATGATCATTCGGGCAGCAAACACACTGGATTCTACCCTACGCTACAGCTGACCCTCTTGAGCAGAGCAACCCTCTTGCCACTGGAACCAAAAGGATTTTGAAAATCTGCTACCCTACGCTGATAACCAAAGCTACTCCGAGATGAGAGTGAACAAACCATAGACCAGAAATCTTTGATGTTCGAATTAACACAACAACCCTTACAATACGCAGGTGTCTATGACGAAACCGCATGACTGCACAATCAGTGGGATTGCTTACGCCGATCTTTCGGTATTAACGCCTTTGCTAGAGGATATGAACAAAAGATTATATTAACGAGAAAACGTCGATCGACAATTGTGAAAGCGCGCGATGAGAAACGACCTGCAAATGCGTGCGAACTAGAACCTAGTAGGTGTACCGGGTTGCTGATTTACTTCGCAGTCGCCCTGTGCTAACCGATTACCTACAAGTTCGCTTTCACCCAGGTGCCTGGTTGTAGTACAGATGGTAGTAACCTGATGATGTGGATGGAAATCGAACGAGTGAAAACGGATTCACTAATAACCATGAATGACCCCATAGAGAGAGAGATGTGGTTTGCGCAGTGTTTTGCGAATGTTATTGACAAGGTTATCGCTACTGTTGCAGTGTGTGTTTGCATGGCAAGGGAGTGCACGGTTGATGCTGAAAGTCTCAATCGGACAGCACACACAAACACACACAAACACTGATCGGCGTTAATAACCGTGTGTGGATGTACGATTGTGTGTGTGTGTCGGAAAATAGACGGGGTCATTTGTGCAAGAGAACAAATACATCTACTTCATTGCTTCTGTGACATCATACACAATACAGATTGGTCAGGAATGTGTAGGCAGAAAGAGTGAGCGACAGAGCGAGAGAGAGCAAATATGATAGCTAATGACAAGGTCAAATAGGGACTTTGCATAACCTGCGTCGAAAATTATCTACCTGAAGACTAGTAATCGCGAAATTCAATGAAGCCTACATGACTGGTAACTCAGTCGAAACGGTCCATGGATCTACGTTTTCGCCACGTGACCACAACCCAGATGCCAGGGTTCAACTGGATACCAGATGATCGTCTAATCAATTACGAAGTCGGATAACACGTTGCGAGAGGGATCAAGCCCACAGATCTTATCGTCAGTGATTCAGAATTGAGTTTCCGTTAACAAGTATTAAGCCTCGAAGAGAACGACGAATTTGGTAGGTAAGTCATGAGCAAGAAAAACTGTCACAAGGACCTTTAAAACGGTAGTAAAGAAAGCAGGTGGGTTTGTCGCAAAATACATTCATTTGAACTAGCTTAAACAAGAGGCGGCTCTTGTGCGACACACGGCAGAGAAATATCATAAGAAATTCAGCTGGAATCCAGTTAAAATGAAACTGATGTGCAAATGGGTGTATTTAGCGAAGTCCGTACAATTTGCGTTCAAAAATGGAACATAAGGTTGACGGAAACTCGGACATTGTACCTCATAGTTGCAGCCATATTCGACCAACATAAAATAGAGACACTTGCCACAAATGCAATGAAACACTGATTAATTCGGAGGGTCATTGGGTCGCCTGTTCAACGTCACACTAAAAGGATAAACTACACTCTCTGAAATCTAATCTTGGAATCGCTGCGCGTGGCCCGCCGCGATTGTTCAGTAGCTGCTCGAATCCGGGCCAATCGTCTTCGGAATGGTGAAAGGGGCCTGCTGTCAACTGTGCTGTTGGGCTGTTACACAGGCCTGTTTGGCCAGGCATGGGCCCCGGATCGGAAAATACTGGTACTTTTGAAGGACCTATGTCCATGTCTCGTCAAACGGTATTTTTCCCAGTAAGAGGGTATGGTTCAATCCCTCCGTATTCCCCACCGCCGCTCCTCGAAACAACCGACAGTTTCCTATCGTGGATATCGTTGAAATGGTAGGTCACAGTCAAGATGAATCCCGATCGAATGACACGTTAGTCCATGGAGGGATAGCGCAGTGGTCAAGGCACCAACTTACTAACCAGAGGATCCGCGTTTCCAATCAAATCTCAGTGTCACGAATGCCCCCGTCTAGGTCTGGGCAACCTGGAAGTATCTCATTTTCGTGCATCGTTTGAGGGATGTGACAGCTAAGCAGCAAAAAGGTGTCAGAGCCCAACGGTTTTTATTATTGCTATTATAATTATTATTGTCGTTTGGGGTGCTGGAAGCGCATATTGATGATCAACTGATTCGACACGATGAATTTCTAGGTCTGGCAACCTGGAAGTATCTCATTTTCGTGCATCGTTTGAGGGATGTGACAGCTAAGCAGCAAAAAGGTGTCAGAGCCCAACGGTTTTTATTATTGCTATTATAATTATTATTGTCGTTTGGGGTGCTGGAAGCGCATATTGATGATCAACTGATTCGACACGATGAATTGGCACACTGTTGTCCTAGACAGAAATTGCCCATGATTCGGCTACTATTTTAGTCTGATCGGGTATTTTAGCCTCCTGTAATTAGTGATGTATGACAACCATTGACTACACTTTCCAGTAGATCGGAAAAATTCTCCTTAGTGGTAAAACTGCTGAAGATGTGAGTGGTTAGATGGTAATTACAGGTAAATCAAGTGCATTAATTGTGAATTGGGCTTCCATATTTCTGAACGAGACTGGGTTCCATCATGGGTGTGCTGTGTGGATGGCTACACAGAGCAAAAGTGTACCCAGAATTGTCCATTGAACTGCTGTGTCCCACCCTTATTCCTAAGATGTCCGAGATTCGACGTCTGGTCAGTAAAGGCATGTGACACTCAACCAGCAATCGGGGAGACTAAACGTTGCGTGCGAGGAATGCAATGGTTTCAAGTAAGTCGTCAGACAATCCAGTGAAGTGGCGATAGAACGCCATACTTATGTTAGCGGCTCCGAACGCACTTTTACACAACCGAGTGCGACCTCCAAGACGGCAAGAAATCTTCCAAACGTGCGTGTCCTCGCCTTCAGCTGAGGTTCCTTCGTGAAGGGGCACAACAAAAACACCTAGGCCGTTGAGAAACAACAATTTCGAAACGGGGTTCTCAAAGTGTTCCGATGAAGTACCCACAGCATAAACACGTTCACATTTTGATGAGTAAAATTCAGCACCTGTTGAAATACCGTATGGTTCGTCACCATAGTGAGCAACCACCAAAAACAGCCGTTGTCAGGTAAGTGGCAAGCAGGGTAAAAAGAAAAAAAGCATCCGATACCGTTCAAAAGGATTGCAAATGAAAGTTTCCGTTGTCAGTAAGTGGCAAGCAGGGTAAAAAGAAAAAAAGCATCCGATACCGTTCAAAAGGATTGCAAATGAAAGTTTCCTCTTCATAGCCTGGACATCTTGAGAAAGGGAACGAAGCTGAACGAAACGCCCGCAGGGTGGACAAAATGAGACACAAGGCTACAACAACTCAGTAGGGTAGTGGAAAGCGCATTGACCGATGGATAATGACAAGCCGCCGAATGAAACATACATACAAGAAAACAAAGCTATGCTGAGAGGTCGCGAGGAACATGAATGGTAGCTACGAGAGAAACGGCCAACAGTGTTTGTCTGGTTGCAGTTATTGTTAAAAAGGTACACACCCGTTCAGCCAAGGCCGAAGTGCGGAACATCGACCGACGAAACAGCACACAAACAAAATCAACCACGAAGAATGCAATTAGGCGATGCATACGCACACAAACAAGAGCAGACATCTCCCATGTGTGTACCATATATACCATGATAAGCAGCGGACATGGGTAGCAATCAAGCAGGAACAGAAATACATAGATAACAAGTCGTAAGGATGAACTGCTTTCGAGGTGAATTGTGTAGACTGATTTGTAGAAAACTGATCAATTATGGAGAACTGCTAATTTTAGCGGTTACGGGTAGCACAACTTAAGGTTACTTGATGAAAACTGACAGAGGTGAGTAGAACTCAACCTGCTTTGACCTTGTGAGTGGATTATTCACTTGTAAAAGCAAACGGTATCCACATCAAACTGCCACAACCCCCTAGTTTACGATGGTCGGATGATCAAAAGTACAGCGTAAGCGGTTAGGCTGATTTTCAGAGGGTTGAAGTAGTTTCCCAAATGGTAAAGGAAAACGGATATCAAAAGAATGGGTTTGGTGGGTGTAGAGCAGGACTATGCGGAAGCTTTTGTGAGACTTTTCAAACAAAAACACGTAAAAAGCTGTCATACTCTCAAAATGGAAACATTACAAGGAAAACCTCGTATATCCCTCATCCAAATACCGCTTCCAGGGGTATAGTTTGACAAAGATGAGAATCTGATACTCACCGAAAGGGGTATTTTGGTGAACCCGGAAGACGTTCGTGCCGACTCCAACTCCAGAAGCAGCCCCACTGACAGTACCCACATTCACCACACTGTTGTTCATCACAAGCACACTGGAATCGTCCACAGTCGGCGTACTGCCTCTATCCGTGCATACGCTGGTGGTAGTCATAGGGACAGTAGGATCGTCAGCTGTCCCTTCAATCGTAGGAGTTCGTGCCTCAAGGCGTTTTTTCGCTGGTTGTCTAGGCGTGTTCTTACCGCTGTTGGAACCGCTGTTGGGCGCATTCAGAGTAGAGTTCAAAGCCACGGAATTACTATTGAGTGACCCACCTGTCGTCGACACATAGCCACCAACGCCGCCGGGAACGCTGGTGACGCACTGGTTGTGCAACAAGTGTGCATGTGAAGATTGGTGCATGGCGAAAGGTTGGTGAATAATATTGCCACTATTAGGGGAGTTTGAAGTCCTTGATGGGACGAAGGTTTTAGAACGGTGTTGAGATTGGGTCTCATACTGTTGTTGCTGTACGGAATCAACACAGGCGGAAGCACCAGAGGCAGATGAGGTAACAGTCGAAGAAGCGGTAGTTGAGACCAATTCATTAGCAGGCGGTTCACATGCCAAACCATGCAGTGCAATGGACTTCGCTGGGTTGAGATTTGTGGAGCACAGAGAAGAGGCTGAGGAAGATAAAGAGTTATCACCGGCAGGGAGGCCAGAAAGCTGGGTGCGATTTTGCTGTCGAGTGATGGCGTTGGATAGTTGGTTATCACGATGTACATATGGGTTGGGAATGGATCGATGTTGAGGAGTATGATGATGGGAATTGGGAGAAGAGTTATCAGGCATAAGGAGAGGTGGACTGCTGCTTGAAGGTGCGACATAAGATGTTGGTCTGATGGGTGAAGATGGGAAGGAACAGGGCGAATCTGTTGGAGCTGGACGTTTGAGGCTTCTTCGCTCGAGTCGATGACCAGCGACTGCGAGGGAAGCGGGACCTCGACTGGGGGAAGACGAACGACACAGGGGGAACACTGATGGTTTGATGTCCGACGACATATCTTCACCAAATTGGTGTTTCGCGGTTTGGTAAACTATTCGATTTGTCTGATGAAGATCCAGGCTGACTGAGGATGCACTGGAAGAGAATTTTTCATGTTTGTTGACGGACATATGGGAGCTGGGATGGGTGGGAATGGTCGCACCATCGAACGAAGTTGGGTAAGAGTGATAGCCATTCTGTAAATAGATTGGGAATAGACCAAAATGTGGAGTACATAGTATACAACCAAGAGAACCGCTCAAATTTGCACGCAATGGTCATGTAATTGTAATAATAATTGTAATAATTGATCCAATAAAATCCTACATAAGAGGATTTGCAAAAGTGCTACCAGAATCAACAGTCTTCACAGGACAATTCTGAAGAGCAACAGATGCGAAATACGGGAAACAGCACGGTCTACTTGTAATTTCCATGGCTTTCACTCACGACTCATCCACTATGTCCTTCACTAAGGGATTAACCAATCGGTCTTCATCACTCATCCCTGTTCGGTTTCTCCCATCAAACACACACACACACACCAAGGCGTTCGGTGCATTTTATCACGACAATAAGTACGTGGTCTTTCTCTTCATAATTCAACGGTATCTGCTGTTATGACTCCGGTGGAAACTAGGCACTGATAAATGCGCGGCCCAGTGCAGTGGGATTGAACACAAAAGCGCGTTGATAAAGAATGCAAGACAGGGCGGAAATCTCCTAACAAATTTGACGCATGTTACTGAAAAGACTGAAAAGACATATTTTTCGGTAAAGGGGTAACGGGACAATTTTGTTTAGGATGGATGGACGGCAAACAGTTGGGTGAGCCCTGGAGCTTGTCAAACTTAACTGTAGTAGGAACGGGATTCTCGGTTTTGAAATCGGTTATAAATAAAGTCATGGTCAGATGGACAAAAGATATGGAGTTATCGTGGACTGTCTTAAGCTATTAAGTAACTTGGTGAACACATGGTAAGCAGATCGCCGAGACGCTATCTGTACGACAGGCCTTCTTTCGAGCTTGCCTGCATTGTTGAAATGAACCATTCCCACTTCGTTCTCTCAAAGGATGAGCAAAATATTCGGCTCCCACAAACTTTCTGCCCTCTCCGTTTGTTTAGCCTCCCTTCCCTCAATCAGTGATCCAACATCCTGAGTTACTTCAGTGTTACTTCGTATTTCGACTTTTACCCATTAAAGGTCGCCATGATTTGGGGGACAAAAAACCGTGCGGTACCTCACTCCAATATGAGCCAACTGTGGAGTTGAACCAGAGAAGTTTCTTCTTCGGGGGGAGGGGGATCAACTGAGTCTCCTTTTTTGCAACAAAGGGAAGCCACTTGTCTCCGAGGCTCTCATATGGGAGCTGGGATGGGAACGGCTGGTCGCACCATCGAACGAAGTTGGGTAAGAGTGATAGCCATTCTGTAAATAGATTGGGAATAGACCAAAATGTGGAGTACATAGTATACAACCAAGAGAACCGCTCAAATTTGCACGCAATGGTCATGTAATTGTAATAATTGATCCAATAAAATCCTACATAAGAGGATTTGCAAAAGTGCTACCAGAATCAACAGTCTTCACAGGACAATTCTGAAGAGCAACAGATGCGAAATACGGGAAACAGCACGGTCTACTTGTAATTTCCATGGCTTTCACTCACGACTCATCCACTATGTCCTTCACTAAGGGATTAACCAATCGGTCTTCATCACTCATCCCTGTTCGGTTTCTCCCATCAAACACACACACACACACACACGACAAGGCGTTCGGTGCATTTTATCACGACAATAAGTACGTGGTCTTTCTCTTCATAATTCAACGGTATCTGCTGTTATGACTCCGGTGGAAACTAGGCACTGATAAATGCGCGGCCCAGTGCAGTGGGATTGAACACAAAAGCGCGTTGATAAAGAATGCAAGACAGGGCGGAAATCTCCTAACAAATTTGACGCATGTTACTGAAAAGACTGAAAAGACATATTTTTCGGTAAAGGGGTAACGGGACAATTTTGTTTAGGATGGATGGACGGCAAACAGTTGGGTGAGCCCTGGAGCTTGTCAAACTTAACTGTAGTAGGAACGGGATTCTCGGTTTTGAAATCGGTTATAAATAAAGTCATGGTCAGATGGACAAAAGATATGGAGTTATCGTGGACTGTCTTAAGCTATTAAGTAACTTGGTGAACACATGGTAAGCAGATCGCCGAGACGCTATCTGTACGACAGGCCTTCTTTCGAGCTTGCCTGCATTGTTGAAATGAACCATTCCCACTTCGTTCTCTCAAAGGATGAGCAAAATATTCGGCTCCCACAAACTTTCTGCCCTCTCCGTTTGTTTAGCCTCCCTTCCCTCAATCAGTGATCCAACATCCTGAGTTACTTCAGTGTTACTTCGTATTTCGACTTTTACCCATTAAAGGTCGCCATGATTTGGGGGACAAAAAACCGTGCGGTACCTCACTCCAATATGAGCCAACTGTGGAGTTGAACCAGAGAAGTTTCTTCTTCGGGGGGAGGGGGATCAACTGAGTCTCCTTTTTTGCAACAAAGGGAAGCCACTTGTCTCCGAGGCTCTTTTTGAGCTCAGAGATTTGTTAATATACAACTAAACAAGTTCATTTGTTTAAGCGAATCCATTGTTATTGCGCTGCTTTAGGTAACAGTCGGCTGTTGCACCAGCTTACGGGCGACTGTTTATCAGGGTTTCATTTCTCACCGGGCTCGCGAATAAAATTCCACCACCCCCCTGTCAAGCGCAGGTAGTGCTGAATAACGGAATAATTTCTATTTTCACTTTGCGCACAAGGTATGAGACGGCCCAGGTAAGGCAAGCGCACAAAACAGAAACTATGAAACCGAGTGTACAAGACGAACGAGCGTTTGCCTATAGCAGCAGATAAAGACCAACATTTAGCATTACCTGGCTGGTATATTGACCGGATGCAGACATCGTAAGCCTGCAGCGGACAAAGTTTGCTCCTTGTGATGCTACCGAAGGCCTAGGGTATCCTCAGACAGGTGGTCAAAGAATCACATGGAGATATCAAGTAAACTCTCGGGAGAATGATTCTCTAAAAGTGGTAATTCTCCGAAAAATGACATTCCACGCTCTCTAGGGAGTTAAATTTTCTTTAGCCAAGAATGCGCACCAGACTTATTTGGTACACACTAACGCAGCAAATAATCACCTTGAATCATCAACCACACAGAAGCTAACTTCCATGCTACATATTCATCACCGGGGTTTTTAAGCAAGAGGGGGAACGAATCCGATGCCTTTTTAATAAACCGAAAAGTAGAATTCAGCACATGAGGATAATGTGTTGGTGGGGGCTGCTTTAGGAGAGTCTATTAAAGAAAAAGAGCATTTGGTAAACAACAACCCGAAAACTTGGTTCTGATTACTCTCTGACCCGGAGAAATTAAAAAACCTCAATGAACACATCTGAATAGATGAAACGGTCACAATCCGACTGTATCTGTACGAGATAACGCTTCTGTCTTTCTCTCAAGGTCATGAGATATGGACAACACGAAATCAGATGAGCCCATGCGATCGACGGAAGTCAGTCCGCTTTTTCTCCATCTGAGTTCACCACAGTATTTGAGTAGTAAAGGAGGGGCGCAATTTCTATGGGGCATTACTCGCATGTTTGGTAGATATAATGTCCCAGTTCTGATGAGCATGCCTGCCAAAAACACTGAAACCGCACGGCGTTCAACGTTTGCTGACACATCACGACATGAAAGCACTTGATTCATAGGCGGATTATTTCAGGTCGTTTCCCCATAAACTACTTAAATAAGTCCAGCTATTACGCTGTTTATTCAACAGAGGTTCACAGAGCAGGTCCGGTTTATGAACTGACATAACACAACATCTATCCATACCAAGCATTTAAACGATTCGTCCATATCCAAACCTCCTGTATTTACCGAACTTCACTGAGAGATCTGAAAGATTACGAACCAGCTGAGACCGGAATAAACATCTAATTGGTGGATTTAGGTATATTCACTTGCTGAATACACACAACGATGTCTACGAGATGTACAGTAGATGAGTGTAAGCATCGGGAGTTCCACTCTGATGTTACCCTGAATAACGACTGCCAAAAATAGTCTTTTTTCCATCCACAAACGGTCACGTTACGCACAAGTACAAGTACCGTGTGAAAGGTTTAGGACTCGTGAAACAAAAGCATAGAAAGCGATGAATACTAACAACATACAGGCACAAACTGGGCAGTTCGAAAGCCCATAAATAACTACATTGTGTCATAAACCGTGCGGATTTAGTTTCACGTGCCATGAAAAGAGAGACACAGTTAAGCAGAACAATTAGAGAAGGTCTACCAACCTGCCTTAATGAGCACCGAGCCCATTGTTTGGTGTGACAAGGCGGTAGCAGACGTTCAATAAAGCGGTCACATGAATCATAGAGAGAATGCGGTCCAGATCTTTCGAACCAACTTACAACCCACCCTCCATGTGCAATCTTCAAGGGTTGATGGCCTAAATGTAAAAAAAATCGTTCAACTAGAAACCCATTCAGCTGCCTAGCTGCCATGCTACCCGAAGGAAGTACGAGGGCTGGGATACTGCCAGGTTGCTCAAGCCTAGACAGGGGAAGTCGAGAGGCAGAGGTCGGGTTCGAACCACGAACCTTCCGACCAGTAAATTCGCGCTCTAATCACTTGCGCAATCTCGCCCCCTAGATAGCCTAGATGTAACTCTCGGTGAAATGGGGTGGGGAGATCTGGTTCAGTTTGATCTAGCTTGGTCACGGGTAGACACTCCAGCGGTTCTAGATTTAACACTATTTGATGCAAGCCCACCACAATGAGCCATGCCCATTGGATCACCACCATGGTCATCGGCAGCCACATCAACGTCGTTCTCTGAGATTTCGCTCTGTCAATTTTACCTAGATTCTCCGCACGAACTCCGCACACCACTTTTCCGTCTCTACCCAAATCGCTGAAGATAGTGTTCCAGTAACCCAGATACCAAGGTGTTCAATTGTTTGCTGGTATTTAGCGTTAAAAAACAGTTTCAGTATAGCTGGCATACAAAAAGTGAGTGTGATTGCTAGAATTCTGCTACATTCCGCCTGTTTTGCTAGAACCCTATCCGAGAACCGACCGATCGCCAGGCAACCAATTTGGAAATATCTCGCTGCCATACCTCTCCAATAGAACGCAGTGGCTTATATGTTTGTGTGACCTTTCATTGCTGATTACCCCGCTGGAAATGTACAAGAGAACACGGATCACCCAAAGGTATCGTGCCAATTAGGGTTCGGTAATTAAAGTTGAATAAACATATGTTGAGTCCTCACAGCTGGATGATTACTGAACCTTATGACGAAATAGTCTGGAATTTAAGCAAAAGGTCAAGTCCGCCACGAAAGTCCCACAAAAACCGACCTAGTCCAACCTTCTGTATTGCAACACGAGATACAGGTAAAATCCCCGAGTGCGAGTTGAGAGACATTCAATGAAACATTGTTGAGGCCCTTGTAAAGCAGCAATATGATTAAAGAGTCACTAGCTGCAGTAAAACTGGAAATCGTAATCGGTTTACAAATGATAACTGAAAATCAGCCCGGTGTAATTCATGGGACCTCAAAATCTGGATACACACATGACTTATGAACAAACTGGTCAAACACCGATTCTTATGTGAAATGAAATCCCATACTGCGACGAATAATATGCATAGTTCAGCATCATACTCCCAATCTGAGTCAATCAGTGAGGAGAAAAGCGTCTTTGGGACAAAATCAATACACTTTAGTTTCATGAACCTGAACAAAGGTTGGTGTGTTTGTTTAAGGTTTCCAAGACAGAAAGGCCAGTAATAATAATAAATAATGGCAACAAAAATAACAATGTCAATCGAAATAAGGCAGTGAACATGAATTGGAAAACCCAAAGCCCGACAGGATATCTGAGTTCATCCAGCAGCATTGGATGGAGAAATAAATGATGCACGTAGAGTCAGAGGTTATCCATTTTCTAAAATATTATCAAGGGGTTTAGACACATTCAGTTAAGCAAGCAAGGTTGCTTATACTGTCTGAAACTACTACCTACTATCTGAAGTCAAAAGGTTGCTGCAAATCCCTTCTGAGTCTGCATTTTTTCCGATCGCAGTTACAAGAGACAAAAGACCGCGGCCGTTTGACTGTCAGCTTCCCAAGACCAGAATTCGGGCGCTGCGGAGAAATACCTAACCACCCACCATCACAAGCGGAGCAACAGATGGACGAGTGGACGGAATTGGGTTAACACGCACCTGGAGTTGGTGGATGTACGTATTGCACGCGCTGTGATGTTGCACATGTGCCACTTTGGAATAACCGCTCTCCCATCTCCATTCCAAGAACATCACACATAAGGGGGCCTCAAACAAGCGAGCGGGAATAGTGTGTGCACGAGTGTAAATATCAACTGGCATAAAGCCAAATCACAGGAGCATGAGAGACGGCAAATAGTCCGGAAAAATCACACGACAGAGAAGAAACAGGAACATAACTATGACGGATGAACTATTCTGAGCGAAGGACAGTGCAATAAAACTTGTAGACTGGCATCTCACAGAGCAATGACATCCTCGAAGGTCTATGCACGAACTAGACTGTCACTGGCTCTCACACCAACATATCTGTCAACTGAGAACTCACCGGATTGGAGCATCTATATGTTGATTAGTGTTTGTCTGTTGGCAAAGCAAAGTGGCTACCAGAGCAAGGCAATCCTCAAAGTCACCTGCGATAGGAAGCCACTCCACAAAAGCATCTGCGACCAGCCATGACTTGGTACTTAGTCTGCAGGAGAGGTTGTCCCTCTTTAAAGATGGGTGGCAAATGTGGACAGAGGGGTCATTCCAAACGTTCTTGAAATGTGTGAAGAAAGCGATTCTTGTTCATTCCTTTAGAAAGGCGCTTTATTTTTAAAATAGCTTGCTCTCTAACATAAGTCACTAGGTTGCTGTAGTGTTCACCGAGAACTCAATAAACGGATGTCGAGTTCATAATCGATATGATAACCATGGTTACTATACTCAATAATGACGCAAGCAACCTTTGACCAACACCTGACGGTCTACGAACGGTCAGGAACAGCAAAAACGGAAGCCGCGCACAACGTTTAAATAGGTGGGTTGTATCCAGTAGTAGTACTCGACAATACATCAAGATGTTGATTGGCAGAAAACCACTCCAGAGATGTTTCATCCTACTGATAAGATTTTTTATATTTCGCACCCGGAAGAAGTCATTATGGTGGGGATCACCAGCAGCGCGCACCTCAAGAATCCACCAAGAGAATGATAAAATAACACGCCACTAAACGGGTCTTGGGTCTGAGAGGCTTTCACCAGAATAGCATGACTCTATGACGCCAATTGCCTGACTGGAGAAGAGTAGGACAGTACTTTACCCAAGCTAATCACAACGTCGCTTTGGGTGTTCGGCTAATGAGCAGAAAACCGTGGGTTGGTGTCCCCCAATCGATTCGTGGGATGACCAGTGCTGAAAATCCCCGGCTTGTCGGCGGAGGTCGACATTTGGACGAAGCTAGGATTTAACTGCACATGTGCCCGAGGACTACACAGATAACTTCATGATCGAAACGACATCGAACACAAGATGGGCTCGCAGGAGTCAATGTTCAGTTGAAGAATGTCATAAACGAGAGATTCAGCTAAGTCTTCCGGTATAATTCACGAATTTCGTCTAATTTGAGCTAAAGTTCGAGATACGGTTAATGTTCAGTGAAGAATGTCATAAACGAGAGATTCAGCTGAGTCTTCCGGTATAATTCACGAATTTCGTCTAATTTGAGCTAAAGTTCGAGATACGGTTGACGGAACGTCCGGGACTGCGCTTAACTGGTAAGACCCATGAAGAACGAAACAGGTTGTGGGCTGTGAAGGAGGAACCATAGACGGTAGTATTCCGTCTAGAACTAAAACCGTTTCGGAGTGACCCATGGAAGTATTAAGTGCATACCAGAAAACAAACGTACTCAGGGTTGAGTCATACTGGTATTCTGTTTTGTTCGAATGACCGCACGATCGGGGTATACGAAAACTACCCGCGCTAAAGATTTTCGTTCCATAGGATAAAACGAATATCCCCCCTTAGTTCTACAGGAGCTTGGTTCGGTAGCTTATCCTTGACTTTCTTCACGATGACTTCCAGAAGAGAGTTGGCCTCAGCAGATAATCTCCCAATTCAATGTCAAAATTACTGGTTGACTGTGTCTATTCGACGTGAAACAGAACCAGGGCTAATTGTGGTGGAGACCACAATATATCCCACCATGCCCCCAATTTTGCAATAAAGTTGAAACGTTAGACAAATGTGATAAGTCATTAAAAATTACGGAGCATAGTTTTGATATTTTGGCAGTTCAGATTCAACTCCATTCGAAAACGAGCACACCGTCATTGAAGGTGAAAGTAACCTCAAATTAAACGTCAATATATTGCCCATCAGCCGGTAACCCATTTGACATTTATTTGAACTCTGGTCTAACTGATCAACCACTTCGTCAATACTCTACTCCAAACGTAATGAAGTTCGAAAAAGTACAAGATTTCAGATCCACACAATGAAGTATACCGATCGAACACAGTTGTTAGTACTCTATTAAAGCAGATCTAATGAAAGCTCAGTGCACACCAGAAGGTTTTAAAACATGTTTTCCCGACAAGCAACGTACCACAACTGGATTGCCGACTGAGCCAGACTCCCCGGTGTCCGCGATACGATGGCCCTGTAAGATCGTTCGAAGTACAGGGACAGTTTCTGCAAATTCACGATCAGCAGCACTAAGTGATAGCTTGCTGATTGACTCTTCGGCAGGGTTGAGGTTCTCTGTTTAAAAAAAAACAAGACAAAACGAAGTTCTTAGAACGAGGAGCAGAGGAACTGAGAAGATTAAATCGGATTTCGGACGAATTTTATCTAACTTTTTGACGAAGCTGGAACAACACTTCGTCAAACGGCACCTCTGGATACGTTTGAATATAACTTGGGGTGTTGCGAAAGACGTAGTGGAACCTCCCGCAACCTTTTTTCCACAACCATTCGTCGCATTAGTATAAAGACCAGAGTGAGACAAATGGAAAATTTGGCATAGACCACATGATCTCCCTTTTTACGATTTGGTCTAATGCAGTTGGCGAACAAATTCCAAGTAAAAATTGCCAGTAGTTCACATCATTCTGACCGGGACGGAAATAGCTAGTGCTCATCGGTTCCCAAAACGTGAGAGAATTACCCTAACAATCAGCACACCCGAATTAAAGAAACACTGTACGTTTCGCTCCGTAAACCAAGACTGTTCGTGAAAGTTGCTCAAATCTCTTGTTCTATCCGTGGAAGATTGTTGCCAGGGCAACAAATCCACCGAAAATTCCAGATTAGCCTAAACCTCGCGGGATAAGCAACGAACAGAACCGAAATAGGTATTTTTGTTCATAGCCACACCACTCGCGTGAACGGCCGTGGTCCTGTTCTGGCGTAATTATTCCGGTGAGTCCACACCAAAGGGAACCACTGGAATCGAGTTTCGCTCTTATTAGAGCTCATCATCAATGGCCGTGCCGGGATTGGAACCCCGGACATCGGACATGCGAAGCGAGCGTGTAACCACTACTCCACCAACGCACGTTGGAGGCATCTGAATTCCACGTCTGAACAGGCGAACGTGGTCACACATGAGCGATGTTGACTCGACGACACAATAACTGTCCTGCTTGTGACAATCGATTGACCCGCCAGTCAGGTAGCGTGACACACGCTTGAAACCCACTGGGTGTTGGTGGAGTAGTGGTTACACACTCGCCTCGCATGTCAGAGGTCCGGGGTTCAAATCCAGGCACAGCCATTGGATATACACTGCTGACCAGCTCTAATAGGGGGCGAAACTCGAATCCAGTGCTTCCCTTTGGTGTGGACTCACCGGAATAATTACACCCGAACAGGAACACGACCATTCAAACGAGAGTGGTGTGGCTATGAACAAGAACCCAAATAGTGATTTGCGTTTGTTCGCTTACTTCGGTTGAGTCGACTGCTTTTAAGGGGCAATGTGGCAGATAGGATCGGTTCCAGTTAAAACACAAAGGTCCATAGAGATAGATCCAACCCCCTGTAAATGGGCTGCTGACTCCATTTTGACAGAACACCGTTTGTTTAGTAATTGAAATTTAGACACTTGACTTTTGTGGATGGATTCAGACATCACTAAATTAAGTCGGCCTTATATGGCAACATAGGGATATGAAAAGCCACTACAGAAAACCTTCACCACGATCAGTCAACCAGCCGACCACATATCCCACCAGACCTGTGTTCATATGCCCAAAGCTGAGCATCACGCAGAGTTCCGCATTTTCAGAGATCGCCCCGATGTTACTACTGCTGCTTGAAAACGCAGCACGTCAGAGCAGCCATCTTGGAAGGCCCCTTAGTCAGAGGGGGAATCCCATCCTCCAAGACGGTTCTGTAACAAGCGAAATTCAAATTGACTGGTCAGATAAGTTTCAAGAAGACCGCGGGTCATGATTCAAAAACAGCACCGCCTTGCTAAAAAACCGTTAAACAGGGATATACCAACCGTCCCGCAATATGCATCCATCCCTGTCGAAACGAATGAAGCCATCGAGGTTTCGAAAACTGATGGAAACGCAGAAAGTTATTTACACTGATCACCACGTGAAGCGCTCGGAGGATATCCAAACAATGGACGACCAGAACCCAAATGCCTGTTGACCAAAGACTCGTGGAGGATAGTCCATGAGATGGCAATGTGGAATGACAGTGACTACTGTTCAGCTCAGCTTTGTGGATTTCCACGCCCTTCTGATCAGGGGTTCACCTTATTGGCCCAGCGCGCACAGTTGAAAACACCACACCAATGAGCGTGCTGCTACTTCTCATGTACGCGTGCATTGAATGAGGTACACGAGGGATGCTTACTGAACGTGTGGACACCTTCAAATCACTTGACCCACTAATATAGGGCTTTTTCTGGAAAGTGTCTAACCCTCTTCTTCCCTCCATTCAGTTTTATGGCCTCTTTTCTCCGTCGCCATAAGACAGTAAAGTATCCGTATTGACTAACAGTTAATTGCGGGGGGGGGGGCGAGATGGCCCAAGTGGTTAGAGCGCGAAATTACTGACCGGAAGGTTCGTGGTTCGAATCCGACCTTTGTCTCTCGACTTCCCTGTCTAGGCTTGGGCAACCTGGCAGATTCACAGCCCATGTGCAACCTTCGGGTGGCATGGCAGTTAAGCACCGAAAGGATGCTACAGCTGAGTTTGTATATAACAGTTAATTGCAGCCCATAATGTTCATGAGGTTTCCTGCCGATCAGGCGTTTGCCTGCAGAAAACCGCCAAATCGGTAACCCATGAGATGTCGAAAGAAGATTGTGCTTCACATGAGGTTGGTTGCCACAAATATTTGGGGAACGATTGCACCTCCCGCACACATCGTGCGGTTACGTGAACAATAGAAAAAGTACACAAGTTATAAACCCAACACAACACATGTAACTGCATGCATTTGTCACGAGGTAGTCCCGAAACGAGAAGAAATCGACGAACTGTGAGGCGTCATCGAGTGTAAGAATAATGAAAAGTGCTCTTCCCGTCTCTCACTCACACACCCCAGCATTTCCCATTTTCTGAACGTGACTTCTCAGGTTGCCGGCCAAGAGAGAAAAAAGACCATTGGAAGCAACCGAACATCTGCTTAATCCTACGATTGAAAAAGGGAACAGGTGCAAATGTCGTTTGGAAGCCAAATGAGGAATCGTTTTTTCTTCTTCTGATGAAGAAAAGTGGAGGGAATTGTAGAATGTCTGGCGCATGGTGATCAGCTGATGGAGGGGATGGTCTTTGTGAATCAAAGAGGGTGAATGGAGTATTAGCTGGCGTCAAATGAATGGAACCCAACAGGTATCCAGGACTCCTTACCCAGTTACTAAAGAGATACCAGTTGGTTTGACTAGGGTGTAAGGCGCGCCTCATGTAACGATGTACATTGAGTGTCAGAAACTCATTTGTGACTGTGGATGTCCGTTCCAAGAACGTTTGGTGCCAACAGGCGAGCGAGACCCATAAACAAAACCAACTAGGTGGGAAGGGGAGTGGATGATTGAGTAGGATTGAATGAGTACGCAATCACGGATGCACATTCACTCGTCGCTCTCAGGTTTTAGTACCAGTCATGTGCCCTTCTCGCTAGCTGGATGATTTTTATCAGTCTCCTTATTGCTTATCAATTTACGGGACCACTTTATATAGATAAAAATAAATCAATCATTCAGCTGTAGCACCTTTCGGTGCCTAGTTATCATGCCACACGAAGGCACGAGGGCTGGGATACTGCCAGGTTGCCCAAGCCTAGGCAGGGGAAGTCGAGAGGCAGAGATCGGGTTCGAACCACGGACCTTCCGGTCAGCAAATTCGCGCTCTAACTTGGTCCATCTCGCCCCCACGGAACCACTTTGGCTTCAGACGTGTCCGAATGAGTGAAAGGATTCATGAAATAGTTTGGCATGCGCCAGTGACGATCAGACACATCTGCGTCAGAGGTCTCAGGAATAGGTGGCATTCGCTGAGAAGCCCAACCCCTAAGGAAACTCCAGTTAAACCTTATAAAAGGAGAACTGTTCAAGCAATATCGGTGAACTTCAAAACGAATTGGCCCACACAAACTGCCTTCCGGTTTCAAGTCACGAGTAACGGGGGAAAACTAAGACGGTGTTCAGCTTACTCACATCACGATACCTGATTCATCACAGTGCTGAAAAACCGGGAAGCACTGTACAGCTGTTTCGTCTTAGCCGGGTATCATTGGCAATGTGCATCTCACGAAACTCTGGAAGTTTCGAACCTGTGACCTTCCGACCAGTGCTTGAACAGCAGTGTGATTAGCTCTCAATCAGATAGGACATAACCATACTCATCCTTAAATCACACAAACCATATCACGTGATCACGAACCGACTGGTTCCTCGAGTGACTACTTCTCGGAAGGATGTTTCACTCTCTTGTGAGATCATTCTTCCTATGAGCTACATATAACTGGTGCTGGTATAAGGAGATGCAGTAATTTTCGGTAGGGATTTCAGCCTGTCTATTGAAGGATGTGTGGTACTATGCCCTGTCTACGTGAAAGCCAATTACACTTCTGATCAGCCAGTCGTGGCGAAATGCTCAAGTGTTCAACCACTGGTTGGAGGGCCACAGGTCCCAGACACTCTCTCCCCCAGTTTCGTGAGATGCGTTGTGCTAATGATTCATAACAAGGATGAAACAGCTTCCGGGCTTTGTGGGATGAAAACTCTATTGGACACTCGGTTCACTTAGAACTGAGTTGAAATAACGGACCGCTGCAATGAGTGATGGCCTATTTCAAAATCAAGCACGACGGGTAGATACTGACGGAATTTGAATTAAAGATAGTATGGCAGTAAGAAAAACAATCGCTCCAGAAATAAGGAAACGAATCTGTGTAGCTTTGTAATGTACTACTCATAAGGTTGCTGAAAATCCTTATAAGTAGTGCGGAGCGAGATGGCCTAAGTGGTTAGAGCGCGAATTTACTGACCGGAAGGTCCGTGGTTCGAATCCGATCTTCGCCTCTCGACTTCCTTGTCTAGGCTTGGGCAACCTGGCAGCATCCCAGCCCTCGTGCTTCCTTCGGGTGGCATGGCAGCTAGGCACCGGAAGGGTGCTATGGCTGAACACTCTTCATGATTAGTACGTTACAAAGATATACATGTATCGCGATATCTTGAATATCGTAGCGACTGAAACATGAGGCGACCTGGTGAAGCACATTCAGTTGCCTGAGAACATCATAAACGAGAGATTCAGCTGGATTCTAAGTGACTCTCGAAAAAACCAAATTAGTTTGCAAATGAGTGTATATATTCGAGAATCTGTGTAGCGTTTTTCAGCTACTGGTGACAACGATGATACATTCACACCTTGAATGCACCTCCTCCAGCTGATGGGGCTAACAAAACAATCCCACGAATATCCTCAGTACGATGAGAAAACACGCCACACATACTGTTTCCATACAGCGCCCTTAGACTCCTACTGAACACGTTGAGTAAACTCAGATTCTGATAATGTAAAAAGAGAATACGTTTATTGAAAGCGACATCTCCTTGTGTCAGTATTAGTCCGGCGGCAATGAGCCAGTCAAAGGAACGTGAATATTTCACCTGTCCAAAATGTAATTAGCGATGCCCGCTGAATCCTTTAAAAGCAGTCCAACAGGCGCCAGATGAAAGGAAACCAACGGGGGCCGGAAACCGGAACGGCGTGCACGACAGGAGAGTGTCTGGGATGGCATCTTTGCCGCCTTGCACCAAGTCAACCGAATCCATGGATAAAAGCTTACCCGGGACAGACGAGACATCGTCAAAATTTCACTCATCAGTCAATCGATTATTAATGAAAAACAGCTTCAAACGCTTTGGTAAATTTGAGTGAAAAGAATATTAGACCCCAGCAGTGCGGAGAGACACGACAGTGAATGAGGTGAACAAGCAGCCTTAGGTGTAGTTTGGTGAATTCTCATCGTACCGGCAACGAAGTGGTGAGATACCGTAAAGCACATACACGGAACCAAAGCGACTCTACGTCGTAGGCGACCAGACGTGATCAAGACGCAAGATCTAGTGTGCGATATGGTAAGCTTATCAGGTACTTTTCGCTTTAAATATAGATTTGAACGACGAGAATTTCAGTGGATGTGAGATCCGAATAATTGTATACGTGAACTGCCAAAAGACCCAAACTAGGTGTACAAAATTATATGAATTCTTTACGGGCCCACTAAGGAACTATTAAGATGGGAAGAAAAAAGTTGATCTGATGAGAGGTCGACAGAATCTACGCCAACAAACTTGGGTCTAGTTGAAAGGAGAAAGAGACCAAATTCAAAATTCTTACGGCTTCCAAGAACGGGTGTTGATGAGCGAATGCCTTCCACAAATCTTCCTATGCATGGTACAGCCACCAATAAGAAACACAAGTTGTGGATGACACAAGTCACACGACAGAACGGCAACGCTTGATAGAGATTTGTCTTCAAACAAGTCGAAGAATCCTTGCCACTAGTGCTGCTGCAGATGAACATCAGGCAGTTACCAAATTAAAAATGAGGCCGAAGTATCCCGGAAGTGAAGAACTATTTATGGGGATAGTTCTCAGAGCTAAAACATCCTGATGAGAAGACAGGAAGAGCACAGTAACTAAACTGCTGAATTCAGAGAAACTCAGAAAAGTTTGCCCCCAAGGTAAGACCCAGTTGCTGCTGGTGAAGGATCGCTGAATGAGTAAGTCTACAGCCGATCTGGCAGCCTGTTAGTTCAAACAGATCACGAATATGATACTAGCGCAAGTTTTCCCGCACGCAATTCACTTTTATAGGGGACTCTAAGCCAGAACCCCTCACTTGCCAGAAAAGTGCTGTACCAGCCGACAACGCACTCCAGATTGCCGTAAAGTGCCCTTAACTGGTAGATCAACAGCCAAAGACCACCAGTCCTGGGCCAAATTTGACCGCGACGATTGGAAAGAAAAAAATGAGCCAAGAGGGATAAGACATCAGAATCAAAAACGCTCGTGACAAAAATCGGTTTAGTTACAACTTCCAGGACCAGCAGATAATCAGAAAGAGGACTTGGTTGACCAAATGGTCCAGTAAGTATATCGCTGATTTAATTGAAACACGGTATGTGCTGACAGCAAGAATATCGTGGCCAACTACAATTTCCTGTGTGGAGTAGAGCCCCTCCAAACAGAGCCAACCAGTAATCTTTTGATTCGCTTAACCTTCTGTCGGGAAAATCCGACCACTGACTAATGTCAAACGTGACACTGGCAAGTACTTCATGTGTCTGTGAGTGGTTAGAAATCTGAGGCTGGCGGATTTCCAAACTTTAAGTTGAAAATCACCTCGTTAGCAGGGCATACAACCCAGCTGAAGCCCTAGTGAGAGTGGGGTTATTCATGAGATGCATGCTTCCCTTGATGAGTGGAGTACCACAACACGCATGCCTCTGTACAGGCGCAGTGAGTACATGAAGCGGAGAGCGAGAACACGGCACGCGCACCCGCACGCTCGTGGTACGTGAAAATCGCCTGTCGAAGTGTGGCAAAAACTGATCAGCAGCTCACCCATGGAAGGATGTACTGTATGTTTACACACGCACACACATGCGTAACCATTGACCGTATTAACACGAAAATACGATCGGGTGTGATGAGGTGCGTGATAGCGCCCGCTCACGTGGATAGATAGTGAGTCAGTCGAAAGACAAACGAACGAACTGTGTAGGCAGAAAAGGGACGCTCACCCCACCACATCTGTCAGACAGACTAGCGAAAGAGTCAGTCGCTGTACATCAATAGACAAGGAGTATAGGCAAAAAGCATCGTAAATTAAAACAAGCTAAAAAGCTTTCGAAACCAAACCTGGCGCCTCAACTAGTGAAACAGCTGAGCCCACCTACTGAGTACCATGAAATTGGAGTCAGACGGAGTAACGGCTGGGATCTGTTGGAGTAATTCAGCTCTCATGTACAGGTTAACTATTTTCAATTTAAGCGAACGATGTAGAACTGTCTCGTCAGGAGCAAGTAATACACAGATACAATCCAGCGGAACAAGACACGTGGAAACTTCGAAGCTTCACCATGAGGTCGCTGAATTTTCTGATGAGACCACGTAAAATGGAATATTCTGAGTGATATCCTCTGAGTGCTGTCTTTTAGAGGAAAAGTCTATTGTATCCCAACCATTGAGAACGATCAAAGTTCACACGACAATTTGCCTACAATCGCGTCGTTGTTTCATGCCTCACGACGATAGATTCGTATGGAACCAGCCTGGGAATCTTGTCGAAGAATCTTATGGAAAATACAGGGAAGTCTAGGTGATCAAGTCACAGATTACACTTTTAAAGGCAATCGCTGGGGCTCTAGGGTCGTCCCCGTGAATTCACGCTCCACAAATTGAAAAACGACTCCCAACGGGTCTGCGTAGAGTGCAAAGTCAAAACACCAGAATCGCATGATAAAGCGCCCAGTCAAACGAGCACTGAAAGCTGCGTGCAGTGGAAACTACACGCAATTGAGTAACGCTGGGTCAAAAACAGCACATAGGACGGGCTGTGCTCAACCGTACCGGTACAACAACCGTATGTGGATGTCACGAAGCACCTCCGTGCTTTACGATAAGAAACATAGACTGCTGAATGTTGTTCGGACACGATACCAAAAATCGGTAGGATAGAAACGGGGATTTAGCAGAACATTTAAGATATCAAAAACACGGAGAAAGAGAGAGAGAGAGAGGGCCAAGTGGCACTGTCAGATAGGAGACGTCCTCAGGAGTGAATACTCCAAAAGTACAAAGTGCAGTCTAGACAGTCTGCTAGCCCGGATAAGAAGCGACAAAGTCACCAACGCCGAAACAACTGTCACACTATCGAGTTTGTCTTCATCGGTTAAAACGTTCGGGACAAACGGCGCACCGCGTTCAGCAAACTGATACACACCGTCCACCACACATTAATCACAATTGCGCCGCTCTGCAAAAGCCGTGAACAGTAAAACGGTAAATCATTGACAGTCGTTACCATACTGGACTGATTCATCCCGATAGGGTTTGCTAAAACTTGGGTATCATAATAAACATCGTGACTAAGTACAATGCAATAAACACACCAACTCACCACGACGGTACTGTTGAAGTTCATCTATGGTGAATGGACCAAAGACGTCGACGGATTCATCCGAAGCTAAATGAAGAAAAACTGAGGTATAAGATTTGACACTGACCATACAAAATAATAATAAAACGCCCAGAACCTGTACACAAAAAATGCATCTGAATTGGTGCGCGCCAGCTTCCATGTCACGTCTGAGGGCTGAGATACTGCCAGGTTGCCCAAGCATAGACAGGAACAGTCGAGGTTGGGTTCGAACCAAGCACCATTAGGTCAGTAAGTTCCAGCCTTAACCACCAGAAAAGAATCTCGAGATACGGGCGCAATCGAACAATAGGTTATGGCTGACGGGGAACACTGTTTTCGATTGCCACGTAGAATTCTGTACATTCTACCTAGACCGAGATGGATTCACAAAGTTGCAAATGATTTCAATATGTTGCAGTGAAAATTTCCGAGGCGAGGATAACAACTCTCAAATGAAAACTAAGCTTGCATACAACCGGGACAATGCATGATGAATTGGCTATTCGTCGAAAGATCTCATCAATTAGACTCCCTGACCTCAAACAAGAAGCGATTGGATAACATAAAGACAAGAACAGTAAGATTAAATCAAGATATATTCACTGCTCTTTATGGTCCGTTAACCGGAGTTTGTTTGAAATGGAAAGTAGATAGGGATAACACCACGATGGACTCGAAGGCCCTTACCAGAGATCTGAGGTGTGAATTTTCAAGACGGACCAAATTCGTTCGTTCACCGGGGCACGGGGAACACTTATTAGGCTCACAATAATGAATTTTCACATAAAATCAAAAAAGAAAAGGTGAACGCAGATGAGTCGCGGACGAACACTTCATATCTCAAGTTGGTGTCGGGCATCCTCGAAGTCACTGTGGTGTGCTTTTAATTATGAAGCACTATACGTCCTCTTTTGAGCAGTGTTCAGCTATGAATATCCATCTCAGAAGCTCTATTATGTCTACACGGGAGTCATATGTAAATAGGCCTCTTTTTAGCCGGAATTTTACGGCCCGGTCACCTCGTCGTATTCCACAAAAACGACTATCAAAGCTCCTGTCAACTCTTTTCCTATCCCTTCATCTTTAAATTCAAAAATTCAAAGTTTCTTATTAAATACAGATCCGCTTGATGGTAAGTAGTTTGTGAGTAGCATAAGTCGCTGTTTCGCCTGCTAAGGTGGGCGATTTGGCAACACAAGACCTACCAACACCAACTCATGATGGATGTAATTTCGATACGGGATGACCAGGTGAATTGCACAGCTCGTATGATTTATGGGATGAGATCAAAGCAGTTTTGTTACGGAAACTACCGAAATTGCTTCAAAATCATCAGAAATGTTGGAACACCGACAGAGGAAATTAACTTCCACTTGGAGACAACTTGGCTGCTGAATCAACACAGTTGGATGGAAGCAAAATGGAAATTTCTAGGATACCATACGCCATGCGCAGAAGACTCAGTGAACCGATAACACCTCGTATGAGGTGTCTTCCGAAATATCCACCAGATTTTCACGGTCTGCATCCTAATGACCAGTTTTAAAACTTGCTGACCCACAGCGTTTAGACTACCATCCGCAACGATCGTCAGTCGCGTTTAGGTGACAATACGGTTTTCGCCAATTGTGTGTGCATTGTCCATGCGCGCAACACCATCACAAGCAAACGATAAAGACTGGTTGCGCTGAAGTGAGCAGATTATTGTCGTACGTGTCAACTATGCCTACTGGAGTTGTGCGATTCTGCACTGTGTTGAAGTCGGAACAAAAACTTACTGCCTTAATACGGCTGACAGCGAAACAGTTTAGCAGAAATCGCGTGAGGAAGTATCGATCGTCATACAACAGTGAAAAAAATCCATGCCGGTAGGCTTGGTGTTGACCGTAGGCTCGGCTGAAGTCCACCTAGATCTCTTCAATTGGATGTGCTACTGAACAACCACTGCCAGTCTCAACCTACATGGGGCCCATCAAGCCGGCTCCGTTACCGCATTTGCAAATTAAGTTGACGTTGACAATAAATTCAGCTGAGAACCACGTGGATTTCCACCGTCTTCCATCAATATCAAGTTTATTTTCAGTGTGGTGGTCAAGTAGGAAATCAAGTTGATAGAGCCTCAAGAATGTCGAAACGGGTAGAGGCCAGTCCAGAGCTTTCATCGGACTAATCTGTAGTTTCGAAAATTTCAAGCTCCTTGATAACACCACAGTTGTGGCGGCCTCTCTGAAAGCGATCCAAACCTGGAATGTTTTGTCGCGCGTTTTAGGCACAGAACACAGTACACTTACATATGGTTGAAAGAGTGAAACGCTGGGAACCTGATTAAATCTTGCCGATCTAACGAGTGACTAGGCTTTCATACCAGGCGCCCAACACACGTGAGTTCGTTCAGTGGTAGTACCCTTTCGGCGCCTAGCAGCCAGGCCACAAAAAGGAAGCATGTGGGCCGAGATACTGCCGGGCTGCCCAAGCCTTGACAGGACTGGTCGAGATGCTGAGGATGGGTTCGAACCACGGACTTTCCGGTTCACCATCTGGCGCCGTAATCATTGAGCTATCTCGTGACCCTGATATGGATTCAAAATGCACCATTAGGACCACGTTTATGTGGGGACCTGTTGTGACCGTTTAGGTAGCCATGATTGTATGCGTATTTCGGTGTTAGGGGTTACCTCAATCGACGAAAACTGTGCAACTACAATGCTACACCCATGACGTTTCAAAACCTACATCTGATTAGCTGTTATTCAAAGGAACTATTCTGTTGGTTTTTACAGTAGTAATCCGTAGTATGCCAGTAATTACAGATACAAGGTTGTTCCGCGAATGTACCAAACCATAAGCTATGTTCTCGAGGCAGAAACTGCGGCTCAGCGGCTATAACAAATAATTAATGAACAAACAACGGAACACTAATTGACAAGTTAATTCATATTCCCAATGCACGGCGCCTTAGCTGTGCAAGTCCTCGTCACTAGGACGAAAGTGACCGCTGATTCATTAGATACAATGGTCGTGCAAAAAACTAGCTGCTCGCCGGTTTCAGTCGTAATTCGCCAGAAAAACTTGCTGGTATCATCAGACTCCTTCGAACTTCCTTTATAATCATTACCTGCAGAGTCGGTGAAAACAGACCGCCAACTCAGCAAATTTTGGTCGCAAAATTCGAGTATTCACCGTTCTTGAGTGAAACATGAGGCGGCCTGGTGCAGCACATTCAGTTGCCTGAGAACATCACAAACGAGAGATTCAGCTGGGTTCCAGGTGAGTCTCTAAGAAAAACCAAATTAGTTTGCAAATGAGTGTATATTCGCTAATTTCGTGCAATTTGGTTTCAAGTAGAACATAAGGTTGACGGAAACCCGGGGACTGCGTCTACCTGATGAGCCCCAAAAAGGGAGAAACAGGTCGTGGGCTGTTAACAGATTTTCAGCAACCTTATGAGCAGTACAAAACTGCCAGTCGTTCTCCATGGCTAATCAACTATTCCTGAAGTACGTAAAAATCCCTGTTGAACAATGCACGAACTTGACAAATGCTACCTAAATGACACTGCGAATTTAGGTTCTATGGAGTACTGTCACCACATTTTCTATGCGCTGTTGCGTACATATGTTAAACACTTTACAATCGGAAGTAGCGCAGTATTTTTCGAAATTCAGTTATGTCACTCTAAAGGGGATAAAGTAATGCGGTCGGCGCTCAAAACTGATCGCACACAGTCATCACAGTGTTAGCCAGACTATTAGGGCATCACCAACAAAGACAGCTAACTAGCTGATGAACTGAATTATGACAGACCTCGTAAGTGGGAAAATTGCCCAACACGTGGGCCGATTTGCACAGTGGTGGTGGATGAGATTAGTTTCTTCGAGATATTCAAAAGGTACATGGCGGTCAGTCACGACAAACGCGCATACGCTCCCAAGCACGCGAACTTATCATAAATCGAACAGTCTAGTCACCATGCGACCGACGTGTAGAGAGTGGGCTACTAAAATTGGAAGCGAGAATCGGAGTGGACCGAAGCGCAGTCAATCAGACAAATATCTGATTCGCGTGATGCTCAGTCACCTAAAATGATCATGTTGTTGGTTTAGCAGTTTAGTGTGCACCAACCGAGGATCGCAGCAATGCGGTAGAAACTGGTCTATTACGGATGACTGACTTACATTAAATAGGACCGAGGTAACTTAAGGACTTGTTTCATCAGATGCGACTAAAACGTCCGCAAACGGGAGAGTTGAATGAGTAGGAAAAAAGCAACTGGCAGCTTCCTAAACGATTTTTGGAACTTGCTCCTCATTGCAAATTGTCAGCCACTATAGTAAGCCGCTAAGAAAGTAATGTAAATAAACCCCATTCTGGGAGTACCGAAGTCGTTCAATATTTGGTGACCTGGTACATATCAAAGCCTTGGTTACAGTCTAATATTTGTAGTTGGCTCACTTCAAGAACCTCAAACTAGAACTTTGCTTGAAATGGCTTTCCTTTGCTGGATCTATAATGCTTCATTATTAATTCCAGGCGCCTGATCAGTCAACATGGAATTTCAGCAATCATTGTATAGCTGAGTGGCTGACTCCAGGGGACAAAAGATATTCAGTCCAGGATAGGCAGCATTTAAACCAAGGCCCGACAAGCTAAGTAGGCTTCTCGCTTACGCTCCCTCTATGTGTTGGAAGTAAGCCCTGATCAATCTCCCGTTCGTCCTCTCTCTTGTACCTCTTTAGTTGACTTTGAAGACATATGTGGCTTTGGAACGATGACTATTGCAACTTATAGCTGCGAGTAAACCACACATCACAGAGGAACACATTTCGTGCGTCATCAGGAGTTCACTTCTGTGCTGTACTGCGAGAAGTGACTGGCCGAATGCCTATTCCAATCTCAACCGCACAAAGTATATGTGAGCAAATTCGAGCATGGCCAGTATACAAACGGTAGACTTTAAACAGGGCTAACGGTTCGTCTGAAGGGTAAGTAAAAGAGTACAAGCCAAACTACTGTTCATAGGCTTATTAAACATGTAGATAAGCGAT